GTTTGGCTGTACCTTGTCGTAGCTCAACTAAAACTCCGGAAAATCCCCCAGTTGCCCAGCAAGAAAGCTAGGATTAATTCTCCCTTGGCTTTGCCCAATTCTCGCCTATAGGAAGAACTAGCTATATTACCCTAGCGCAGGTTGATATCATTAATTTATTCCAGTCATTGATCGATTGCACCGGAGAAATGCCGACCGCAAAAACGGGATTAGCCTGCGAGCCTGCAGGACAACGAACTTTACTTGGTGGTAGTGCATGATCACCCACGGAACGTGCAGGCGTGGGATGGAAAGAGCGGCTAGATCTGATGTGATTGACCGGTTTCCTCGTCATGCATTAGTGGTAATCTGGGTATTTGAACTATTTCGCAATACTGTTTTCTTAGCATACTGATGTTGTACTATCGTTACTGGACTTCCGATACACATCTTCAAAGAAAAGAGATGGGCACGGACATAAGCATATTGCCATTTTGCCAGTCCTTGCATGGGGTCCATGTATCTAAGCAAGTAGTTGTACATACTCGAGCTGCGATAGCTCCAGCTGTACAGGGGTGCCAAGTATAGCTTGTAGAAATCGACTGGAAGAGCAGAGTTAGACTGCATTTAGTAAGAGAAGATTTCCTCGGTACCTTGCGTTAGGGCGCACGCTCGAAATATTTCAAGGAGTACTCACCTCTTAAGTTCGTATCCGCCGTATATACACATCCCAAGTGCTCGCCTCGATATCGAAACACTCCAGCGCCTAGCAACACAAGTACAACCCTGCTCGACTTTGTCTGACCTGCGACGCCACAGACGAAACTAATCGTAACAATCCCGGTTTACGTACATCCATCCTTTCGTCCTAGGTAGTAAAGGCAAGTAGCTAGCCGGAGGAATCCACCATTCTCAAATCTCTGGAATTATGTTCCCGACGTGCATTCGCATTCGCCCCCTTCATGCATGTCATACCTTGGACAATCCCACTTAAAAAAGGTCCAACCAAGGAAGCTCTCCACAACAAAACCAAACGGCCCAGCAAGGCTGACAATACACTGCCACAGCCTCTTACGAACCCAGGAACCTCGCACAGACAATAGCACAGCGCACGAACCTAAAGACACGAAATCGAAAAAAGTCATCATAATCAAAAAATAAAATACACACGCTCATCGCATCGCCACGAGCAACACCCGCCAAGACAAATCAAGCCATACGGATGCAAATCGTCCACGATCGCCCACGCGTCCTAGCGCCGGCGCGAATTGCATGCAAAGACCGCCCTCCATGATGTACAGTACCTCCTAAAGTATTGTACAGTACAACTCGAAGAGCTCCTAGCTGCACCATTGGCGGGGCTGTTAGTAGCCCCACGTCAATGCTAACCTGAGGCCCCACGTCCTGTCCAGCGCACTTGGTTTTGTAATTTGTACGGAGGTAGTGTACAGCAGGACGTTAGAACCGACTGGCCTGCATGGTCGCACCCGAGTCGGGTCCAGTACGGCGCCGGAGGATGGGTAAATTGAGGGTGGCATTAACGACACTACAAAATGTTCGTGACACAACAAGGCCAATCCTAATAAGGAACGCACCCCCTGCAATACCAAATGCTACATTCGAAATTTACAACATACCTACTAAGTCTTTATGTATATGTGTGGTTCTTTATATTAACGCTTCTCGCTAATACCGTCAGCGAACGAATACGCAACCTCTATCTGTTTAATCTTATAATGGACTGATTTATCACTCTACGCCCCTTCCTACACTCATCCTTCCTAAGATCTTTCCTAAGGTCTTTTCCTAGGGTTTTAATAGCTATCTCGTAAATATGTATAGATCTCAAAGAAGATAGATACATAAAGTTATTTGATTCTGGCGTAAATAGTCGTTGACAATACTGGCGAGAAGCGTTAACTATGATATAGGATTATGTGTATACAAGAACTTAATAGGTACTATATAAATCTCGAATATAGCATTTTCTACTGAAGGGGTGGGGGGTGTTCCTCATTAGGCCAGCATTGTCATGCCGTTGATATCACCCGAAACTGACGGGACCAAATAAATGCCGCATTGGTAATCATAGTTGCCAAGGGATTATTTCAATAGGCTGTACCTTTGTAAAGCAGTTGGTTTAATTCATTGATCTAGTTGTGTGGTAAATGGTAAGTAGTGGCCGCTTAGGTAGCTGTAGACATCGACCTGGTTGGGCTGTGTCTAGACGAGTCAAGATATACAGGCATAGGGGACATTAACAAGCTTGCTCCGAGCTGCGGCCAGACTTCCCTGCGGGTACATACACCTCGCAACTGTAATATATAATATTCTACAGCTATTTACTCCGTACAGCATGTAGCTACATAGCATCACACAACGGTATTGGACGTACACGCCACTGTACAGTAGGTATACGAGTAGTATCTGCATGTGCATTTCTAGTCCCTCGTGCTGTAAGATCTAGCGGATGTACCGCATCCAGACACGATAATACCTACTTCCACGATATTCTCCGTATATACTCCCATCAATATGCATTATATGTCCCACCTAACTAGTGTCTGTGCCTTCCCACCCCCCATATGTGCCGTTTACCCAGGATCCCCTAGGACGATTATCACTAGGACGATGATTATCTCTTAGTCTTCCGGTCCGTTAAAGAGCTCTCATCCCGGTCCGAGACATGATGTGCATTTGCAGCTACAGTTCTTGGTAGAGCTCTCCTGGATTGCCCCTCCCCCTCCCTGTGCCCGATGACACTGCCCCCCAATGATCATTGCGCCTCGGCTAATGGCCATGAGAGAGGGCGGAATTAGGGGGTTTTGCATTCCGCGTTAGTAAAATTGGCCCGCCAGACGACAATCGTAGCTATTTCATACTCCGAGTAGGCATTGAGCAAGCCATATAGCCGAGCTACCAATTGGAAATAGGGGTTTACATAGTCGTCAAGGAACCATGATATAGACCAAAAAAACTCGTTGAGCAATGCAAAACTATCTACTCTGCGCCCGCAAATGTAGACACAAATAGACAAATTCATAGGGATCACTATTTTGTTCATTGCCCTGCCATCAGGGTTCGTCGCAATGGCAGGGCCTCAACTCCAGAACCGATGTAGACGAGTCGCAAGCCGCGATACTCGAATGGTATATGAGCAGGACATCACGCATGAAAACTTTTTTCTATATTGATCAGATGGGTGTGACAATCGACCAAGACGTAGTCGTCTAGACACTGATGGTCTTGAAAACACTGTTTAGAGAGAAATGTCAGCACTGAACGCTAAAATCATCACTCTTCGTATCAAATTCGTACCTGAATCCGTTGCCACCAGTCGCCATCAGCGTACCTGGCATCTGCGCTTGCCAGTGAACCTCCTTGACAGACTCCATATAGTGCACGAAGAGGAGCTGAGGAGGAATGTCGGCCATGCCTGCCTGGCGGCTCTCCTCGTCGTCCAGCTCGACAGCCAGATCCCATAGAGTGACAGTGTTGTCAGCAGATCCAACAGCCACAACACTGTCGTCCGATGGGTGCCACTCAATGCTGGTGACGGGCTCCTTGTGGAAGTCAAAGGATGCAACGGGAGAGGCGCGAATGCGACCAGCGTCATTGGGCTTCCAGTGACGCAAATCCCAGACGGCCCACTGACCGTCATCAGCACCGGTTGCCAAAAGGTGGAATGTCTGGTTTGACCAGCTCATAACGTTGACGTCGGTGTTGGAAATGTGCACGTCCACAGCGGGCTTACGAGACTTGGATCGCACGTCCCAGACCTTGACACTGCCGTCGCTACTGGCAGAAGCAAAGACGTTCTTTTCGTTCGGCGACCACTGCAGCTCTTCCACGGAAGACTGGTGGCCAGTGAAAGGCCGAGTGTCGGTCACCCAGCCGCCGCCCTCGGTACGGGTGGTCACGTAAATCAGACCATCGTTATCACCGGTCAATAGCTTACCCAGAGGCTGAAGCGGAGACCAGTCCAGGGCATAACCTTCAGACTTGTGCATGCGAAGAGTAGAGAGGGGTTTGGAAGCGGAGGGAGGAAGGACGGTGCCAGGGACATCGAAGCTGGCGAGGTGGGCGGTAACGTCGTGGATGAGAACTTGCGAGTTTTCCAGCATAGTCGCAGTCAGCGTTTGGGGGGGTTTCGAGTAATCGGCCGTCTGGGAAGGAGTCTGGTGGCAGCGAATGCGGTTGGTTGTTGAGCCGAGGGGAATCGACTTGTGCTCGAGGATAGGCTCGCCCATATCGTCATCCGAATCCGACTCTTCGTCCGAGTCCTCGCCCTCCCGCTCCATCTTGCTCAGACCGCTCATCTTGAGCACCATCAGCTCGTTATCCTTGGCCCGAGAACCCTCGGCCTGGGTACCAGCAACGGCATAGACGGTTGCGGGGAAAGTCTTTCGGTTATCGCCGAGCGTGTCGCGCACAATGTCGAAGGACAGACAGGGCCAAGGTGTGCTCAGAGTGTGAAGCATGTCGTAGGTCGAGGGGTCAGGCGACAGAGTCTCTCCGGGCGCCAATTTCGTCCGTCCAGGAATGAAAGTCTGTTTGTCAACGTCCATGGCCTCTGTACAACCCATGATCAAAATTAGTTATCTAGTCCATTGTCGGCATAAAAGAGACTCATAGGGACAAGCTAGACCAACCTCGCTCTTCCTCCTCACGCTCAGCGTCAGGGCGACCATCCACACCGGCCTCGAGGATTTCATCCTCGCTCTCGAACTCATCCTCGAACTCGTCTTCAAACTCCCCCACTTCGTCGGCAGGAGCGTCGACCATTGGGCGCTCGCCGGCCTTGAGCGCGGCCGACTGCTCGTCGCCAGCATCCGCAGCTCTCTTGGACATTGCAGGCGAGTGAAAGAGGTACCTGGATCGAGGGAAAATTAGAGGAATGAGAGGGTAATTGGCGGCCGATAAGAACTTTTTTCAGTAAATTTTGGGCAACCGCGGGAGAAAGGCTAAGCCTATCGGGGACTAGCGCAGATCCCGCAGTTCCCGCAAGTCGAAGGGGAGCTGAACAACCGGGCTGGACGGGCTAGTTGGGACTCGTCTGGACCTGGACTGGACTGGACTTGACCGACCCTGATTTTCTCTGAACTCTCTGCAACGGTCGTGACGCTCATTCGTGTTCCTGCGTTTACCAGCTCTCGTTTGTACCGTGGCAGGCCATCTTACGCCCTCCTCACTTCCCCTCCTCTCGTCGCTACCCGTCTGGGCACTGTTTACGCCGGACCCCGATCTCTTTCGTTCACACCTGACGCCGCCACCACCTCTGATAGAGAAGAAAGCTCTTCGGAATCCTAACCGTGGTGTAGCTGGTTTGGGTTGGCAGCCCAGTGACGCCCAAGAGGTACGGAATTGGTTGACGACATATCACACAAGGGTCTCCTTTCCCCGCAAGTGCTAATAGTGAAGCTTTCTCACATAGTTTACACTCTCGATTTCAGCCTCGGCTTCGGTCTTCCTTCTCCTCAATTTTCTTGAAGCTTCCATCTCCGATCATTAGAAATGGATCCGTTGCTGCATTCTGCCTCGGAGGTGGTCCCTGTTGTCGCGGAGCCGCAGCCGCCCTCTGCGGAGGATCATGTGTCCGAGGCACCTGCACCGCAGGAGGCCCACTCGTCTGAACATCAGCCTCAAGAGGATCCGGCGCTGGCGCCTGTCAATGTCCATGGGGAAGAGCCTGCTCCCGTCGACCAGTCAGCTGGCCGAGTAGGCATTGACAACGGCTACAACAGCGACTCCAAGGCGCACTATCACTCGCGTTCGACCGACTTCCACCACTCTGCTCCCGAATACACCCAAGAGGCCGACCACGCAGCTCGCCTCACCTCATCTCCATCAGTCAACCCACAGCCTCAACTGCATCCTTCCCGGCCTGGATCTGGGTTCTCCAGTGGCACGGAGCGACATGGCATGTCTCAGCAGCCACAGCCCGCAGAAGCTGCGCAACGACAGGCCGCCCAGTCCTCGAAGAACAGCGTTGTCATCAAGGTCGGTATGGTTGGAGATGCTCAGATTGGCAAGACTAGTTTGATGGTGAAGTACGTGGAAGGCAGCTGGGACGAGGACTACATTCAAACACTAGGTATGGGTTGAGGGGTCATCTCTGTTGAACTAAAATCATTCTAACCGTGTCATTCACAGGTGTCAATTTCATGGAAAAGACCATTTCCATTCGTAATACTGAGATTACCTTTTCAATTTGGGATCTTGGTGGCCAGCGCGAATTCGTCAACATGCTGCCACTTGTTTGCAACGACGCTGTGGCCATTTTGTTTATGTTTGATCTTACCCGCAAGAGTACCTTGAACTCCATCAAAGAATGGTATCGCCAGGGCCGGGGCTTCAATAAGACCGCTATTCCGTTCCTGGTCGGCACCAAGTATGACCATTTTGTCAACTTCCCACGCGAGGATCAAGAAGAAATCTCGCTTCAGGTATGTTTAGCACCATACACACGTGCCCACGGTTCTCATTCTGATTGACCGCTCTCTAGGCCAAGAGATTTGCCAAGGCAATGAAGGCTAGCTTGATCTTCAGCAGCACCAGCCATAGTATCAACGTGCAGAAGGTTTGTTTGTTCTGTTGAACTCGCCAGCTGGGCCTATGCTAACCTGTAATAGATTTTCAAAATCGTTCTGGCCAAGGCATTTGACCTCAAGTGCACAATCCCCGAGATCGAGAACGTCGGTGAGCCGCTGCTGCTCTACAAGAACGTGTAAGAGCACCCGAACACTTTGTGTCGATCGCCTGCCGGTTATGTACATTGGGATGATGTGATGCTTCTTGATGATCAATTCCTGACCCCTGCTTCTGCCCTCGGAACTCCTTTCTTGTCAATCGTTTTTTTTTCCTTTCTCCCCCATTGATGTATTTCTTGTGTCCTACGTCTATCGCCCGTAGTTGGCTCGTGGTTGACTGGGACGCGGGTATTCCCACCTTTCCATCCAGCAATCCATGAGCTAGCTGCGCAGCCATTGACCATTCTTCCTTGTGCAAACTGTTCCTTTTTCCTGTTCCTGGGCTTCATGTTCTCCATCCTTCACCTGGATGTACCTGGTCTTCTTCTTGTTTTGTCTTCATGTCTTTATTCCCTGGACGGGGGCTCCACTAGCCGCCTTGGGCGTTCGGGAGTCCAAGAGGTCGAACAGGGTACTGTATGCTGGAAATGGCATCAAAACAGAAAATTCTTTGTCTTTGTGTAGCATCCCTGTAAAGAGTTCTTCTATATCATTTCCATGGGCGGAGAGTATCCACGGCGTGGTGCCTGAATTCGTTCCTGAACCCGATTTTACTCTGATCGAAGGTGAACCACGGGCCTCGAGGCGGAGTGTCGGCCCCAAACTACCAACGGGGCCGTCTGCTTTTTAGCCGCCGTCCACCTTCTCCCTTGATTGCGCCCTGATACTTTCTGTCTGTTCTCTTTGAGAGAACATTTTCCAGTCCTTGCTTCGATCTTTCCACGCCGTGGCGACTCGAGCTAATCCAACGCCAAAGAGGTTACGCTTCGGCCCCCGCCAAGCCACCCAGTGTTGCTTGGGGTTTGACGGTCGTTACAGCTGCAATCCTTCTTTTGGCAACTCATTCGTTTCTGTATTCATCCGTATTAGCAGCTACATCCTTGCTGCTCGAGACTTCAACACAAAGAACCGGGAAAATGACTGAAGAACCGCAGCTGGGCTCTATCCAGGAACGGATCGCTGCTCTTAAGCAGTCCCAGGCGGCGCAGAATAGCGCTCAGCCGCCTCCATTCCTCCGCCCGCCCACGGAACGAAGCAAGTCGGCGAACATCCCTCCATCTTACGCCGTGACTGGCTCGGTCATAGACAATGCCTCGATTGGAAATCAACCTACCAATCTACAGACACAGAGGTCGGCCCCGCGACCTCCCCCGAGCCCCTCGCCGAAGCCAGAATTGAAACCCAAAAAGGCCCCGCCGCCATTGCCTACGCGCCGATCAGATCGCCCACCTCCCCCTCCTCCACCTATTCGCTCCGAGTCTCCAGCGCGACAAGAATCTCGTCCCTCTCTGCCTCCGCGTCGACCTACACAACTGTCACACCGACCATCGCAGGAATCGGTCTTATCTGACGCGTCTCACTCGACAACGGCTACTAGCGTTGGACGCGGCGCTTCAACGACGTCTGTCAACTCCACCGGCAACGGCCGTATCAAAGCTCCAGCATGGGGTGAAACAGAGCTGCCCGTACTTCCTCCTAGGCGGCCAAAGGAAGACCCTATCGATTTGACGCCAACTCCACGCTCCGAGTCCAAGTTCAGCACTGCTGGATTTACGGGGAAGCTATCTGCCCTGCGAGGGAAGATCCCAGGATCTTCATCGTCGACCTCCTCTACACCAACTCGCCCCAGTGTGCCTTCCCGTCCATCGGCGGGGGATCCATCTCCCTCAGTTCCTCGACTCCCCTCGCGCCGGCCGTCTGGGGTAGAGACACAAACAAATGGCACAATTTGTGAAGCAGAGGAAGAAGAAGAAGCGAAGCCCAGTCTACCAGCCCGGCGCTTGCCACCACCTTCGACTGTGAACAACCTTCCAGACGCTCGAAGGTTAGGGTTTGGTGGGCTCAATAAAAGCCCGAGCATTCCTCCGCGGCCGAGTAGCACACCAACGGAGAATGGTGCTACCAGCAGGGTCCCTCCGCCAGTGCCAACCGGATCCCGGCCAGATCTCGCCAAACTAAATGCAACCAAGCCACGCTTCAACGGTTCCCCCGCTGGGGCTACGGTACCCGCAGGCGGACCAAGCACGGAATGTCTGGTATGCCGAGACTTCTCTGGTCCAGATGCTCGCGCGGCACAGTATCCACGAGAAACGCTCCCCACACACGATCTGGGCTGGCTGGCAAATGAGCTCACTGCTCCATTCCCATCATTGACCGACAAGGCCAGAGTTATCTTCACCTGGTTGCACCACAACATCAAATACGACGTTGTAGCCTTCTTTAATAATGCCGTGAAGCCGTCCACGCCGGCAAGTACACTAGCCAGCGGACTAGCAGTGTGTGAGGGCTATGCTGCGCTGTTCGCGTTACTAGCCACGAAGGTAGGACTCGAAGCTATCGTGGTAGGTGGCCATGGCAAAGGATACGGTCACACACCTCTTGCTCCTGGCCAACCCGTACCACCGTACGATGCGGGCCATGCCTGGAACGCAGTCAAGATTGATGGAGGTCAATGGAAGCTGATTGACCCATGTTGGGGAGCCGGAGCGGTCAATGGCCCTGGACAACCTTACATCCAACGCTTCGAGCCACACATGTTCACCATCTCAAACGAAGAATTTGGTCTGAAACATTACCCGGGCAACAAGGATCACTTCTTCCGCAGTGACGGGCGAGTAATTAGCTGGGAAGAATACATCACCACGGATCCAGACGCACCGAACGGTGGTAAGCCCCTCCAGATCTATTCCGATGCCGACAAGTACAGTATCGGCCGCAAGACCATCTCTCCAGCCAGCGGCAAGATCTCCATCCACAGCAGCCAGGGTCCAATGCGCTTCCAATTCGGCCTACTCTGCGAGCACTGGACACTTGCTCGACACAGTCGGCAAAAAGCCGGCCTCTTCCTCCTCATGCTACACGGGGTAGATGGCCGCAAAGAAGATCGTCTCCCCTTCCTCCACATCCCTGGGACTGGCCCCGGGGGAGGCGGCGACATGTGGTATGTGGATGTCGCAGATGGACGCCAACTGGGCGCACCAGGCCAGAAAGTGCAGATTGCGGTTTTGACGACCTTCGGTGACCGTCATGATTGCCGGGGTGTTACTGCCCAGGAGTATCAGTCACAGGTTGGCCGGGTGGGAATGTCCTGGGCGTATATTGCGGAGTGGACTTTGGAACGGTGATTAATGACTTGATATACCTTTATCGCATGGCTTTCCGGCGTTTGTCAGAACGATAACCAGTTCGTCGGTGCATTCATTATTAATTGAATAATATGAGATTGCATGTTCTACATTTGCGGAATTCTACATCTGTTTCTGATAGCACTGACCTGGTGATTTTATCAGCTCTTTAAGAAATTCTAGATACGAAGAGAGGGAATCGTGGCTTTCAAAGGGGCTATTTGAAGTCGAATCTAACCACCTGACGAGCGTGGGCAGAGATCAACTCCGAGAACTTCATAATCAGCACCCTGGGCGGTCTCATCGACAGAAATTGTCAAATAAGTCGAGAGCAATCTACTCTTAATGGTAAAACATTGTCAGCTTTTTCCACTCTCCAAATATATAACCCTAAGAAGAAAAACTGTATCTATAAGTTGAGGCTAAATAAGATTCCCTGAATAAATTATGCTAGTTGTGATTTGACCTTCGTCTCGTCATGTAGAGCCATTCACAGATTATCTCCTATTATTAGGAACGATGAAATCATAAATAAGGTGAGCAATAAAAAAGAGACCTTAACGTTGGATCATTACCCGGTTCCGAAAACAAACCGACAAAAAACTGACAGGAGGGGGATTCGAACCCCCGCCCTCGTTCGAGGACTAGAACACCTAGTAATACTGGGTGTAAGATAACTATCTTGAGTCTAGCGCGATAGACCACTCCGCCATCCTGCCGATGTCAGAGAATCTCTTGATTTGCTATATAAGCCACAATAACGGGACCCATATTGAGTTTTTGTCTTGTGTACAGAATCTTAGTGTAAAACACACTTGAAGGAAAGAGAGGAGTAAAGGCCAATTTCAAGGGAAGGGTTCGATTTAAAACTAGATATATATAGGGGTCACATGAGCATGTACAGTAGGGGATTGAAAATTTGAAAAAAGGGCTGGAAGAAAAGGCATAGCCAGACACGCTCCTAATTCCTTTGTTTCTCAAGGTCTTTTACAATGCCTTTTGAGTTAACTTTCCGAATAGCGCAGGCATTATCTCTTGATGTCTCTTCAAAGCATGTCCGATGAGATGGGTCCGAACTTTTGTTGGGGCTTCAAACTTATGAAACCCTGTTGTTCATGGAGAACACAACAAACTATAAGGCGACGAGCATCAGGAAGAGGGACGCGTAAAAGGTTTTCAGCATTTCAGTTGATCAGCCCAAAATTTAAATCTGAATTCGACGTTGACAGCGATCTCACTAAGGCCGCTCAAGGCAATGCCTTTTCTCCATATACCTTGTGGGTTCTTGGGTGATCGAATTTACAGTCAAGGTTTTACGACTTATGCGTCGACGTGCCTGAACGAGCGAGGCTAAAAGACTTAAACTTCTAGGGTGTGCTAGGTAGGACCGATTCAAGCAGGGTACGTAACATTTAGCCCAGCTTATCATATTCCCGCGGCCCAATGAGTCAAGCATTCATCATTACATCAGTCCATGGCACTGATCTAGCATTTTTCTCTGCGGCGAGGATTAAATGGAAAAACTTGCTCTATCTCCACCAAGCTTTTTGTCTATCCTTATGGGTACTGTGTCTTGAGACATCATTATGGTGCTCACAAGCGAGGACGGCTGGTCTAATTTAGCTGTCCCCCTACCACCAACATGCCTGCTTTGTCAAATGTTGATCCCAGAGACTTGCCCTGTCGCATTCGCGGGAGATCCACCTAGAAATCAGCTACTCAAAGATCGACAGCCTTGGAAAAGTTACTGGAGGTCCAGGCATAAACATGTGATGGTGCCCTCGGCGAAAGTTGAAGAAGCAGACTTTGGTGATTTACCTAAACTATGGTCATGTTTTTGTCGAGCTAGTAAGTTATAAAGGTAATATCATTCTAGATTTCGAGAACTGACTATTATATCTAGTTATTCAGGAGTCGGATACTAAGTATCGTTTAACGGGTATTAATTTCACTTCCCATGCGGCATGGGGTGAACTATACAAGTTTCCAAACGACCCAAATATCGCAAGAATTGGTGGGAGAATAAATGCCCGATATGATCCCCAATTATTTACTCGATGTGTGGCAGCACGGGCGGTAAGACAGCCAGTTGAACATAGAGGCAAGCAACTCGGGTTCATTATCCACGCTCATTGCTGGGTGCTCGTTAGTCAAGCGATGAAGATACCACCGACTGGAATTAAGCTCGAAAAATTCATCAAAGCTTGCCGATCTCACTGGCGTAAGTCAAGATTGGAGACCCTGGTCGATTGGAATCTACGCCGGTCCGTGACTACTCCCGTGACTAGGCCGAACCAGGCCATACCGAAGCTTGCCTATGAGTGTGATATCTATCAGAATCCAGTGATCATTCCAGCACTACAAAACGTCATTACTCACGCAATCAAACGTTCTTTTACGACTACATCCGGGGTCTCTTTTAATAGACTTCCTACAGAAATCACTTTTCTCATCTCAGAGTGGGTCTGCCCGATGGACTATACCTCGGACGATGTTCGAAACATGCGAAATATGCTCCTCGCGTTCAGATGGGATCTACCAGACTGGTTTTGGCTAAGGAGGCTGCCAGAAGATTTCTTCTTTGAGCTGGATAATCTGAGAGAGTCTAGCTCTCCACCGCCGTCTCGGATGGATTTGCAGATATTGCGACTTGATGTGATGCGTTTCACCTTTGATCGAACGCGGTATCCTCATTGTGGACTGGCAAATAGGCGACGAATACACAGGAATATAGTTGCGATCAAAAGGGGTTTAGGAATTGCTTAAAGCAGGTGTCCTACAAAAAGATTTGCTTGGGAGGTGAAATCTATCTGCGTTTTATGAATGACAGCTAGCTATATGTTGCGGCGGACTATAGGGGGAGAAGGCCAGAACCCTTTCCAAATTCGTAGTTCAAGAATCGGCAGAATCTCATTTTCATGCATCCTTTCCCCCCATATAATCTACGCATATCCTAAATACCCTTTGTTAAGTGCGAGTTCCCGCACCGAAACAATCGAGATCGATTTAGATGAAATGACTAATAAGATTACTGGAGCTGAAATGTAGATATAATCCTAATTAAACACTGAATTCTCTTATAGTCTCACTTCTTTACCTAATCCTATTAATTATTATAATCGTAACTAAGATAGAGGGGCAGTTTCTTAGATAATTTCCTAGACGGTTTCCTAGTGATGTAGTAAGTATAAAATGTACTTAGGGCGGAAGCAAGCGGTGAATGGTCTTCAAAGAAATTCAGAGTTATGGCCTTCTTCCCCCTATATTCCGCCGTATATCTATGCTTTAGCTTGATTTCCTCTCGTTTGGAAAGACGTTTTCGTATATAAGGTTGACAGAGTTTACTCTCGTATACCGACTTTTAGGGCCTTGTACCTATTTTGTCGCCCGCACACATATTTTCCCTGATATTGAATGCTATGCAAGTGTTTAAATCTCATTTGTCAATACGCGAAATCATAGACGGAAAATGACCTTGGTGCCGTCTAAAGGGTGACTAGGATAGATTTGTTCAAGCCACCGTGCAATGAATGACGTTGAAGCGCGCTAGTGCATTATTCCAGCGGTGCACGGGTCTTATGGTCGCATCGAGAAGGGTTTCGGACTCTCGCCGGAAGTAAACTAGGAGTCAAGCAGCCTCAGCCGTGCCGAAGGCTTATCTGCGCCAGAAATGTCAGCCATTGCGTCATGCAACACTGGAAAATGCCCACTGCCGAGCAACGAACGGAGTTAAGGGGGCATTGAGGTCTGTGCGGGGGGTTATCAAAGGTTACTGGCGATGGAGAATATGGTTACATAGCTTGATTCTGTAGCTGGGGTAGCGGCAGGATGGTTAGGATGCTGAGCGAATGGGTACTGGACAAACCCTTCAATTTCCATATCCAGAGGACTTGCCTATTCCCCGCCCGTAAGTGGAGGAGGGAAATTATTTGGTCTGGGGAATGGGCTCCCGGTGTACGAATATGGCCAAGGGCAACCCTCAAGACCCCGGAGAATCCGGAGAATCCGGGTCACCTACCTGGAGGCGGGGATGCAATTGAGGAGAAGGGGCATCACCAATGCACCATACTACTATTGTAGGCAAACCCTGGAAGTAATCAGTGCCCGTCTCCCTCTTCTCGGTTCAGACGGAACGAAATGAATAGGAGGGCCCACATCAGCCACGCCAAAAAAAAGAGAAAAGATATCCAAAAAGCGGTTTCAGCCGCTGAACCGGAGTTTGGTACAGTCGCAGAGTCGCAGAGTCCGTGAACAATTAATAAGCCATTGGCGTCAGCTAATACCAGCAACCAGCCACTCCCGCGCCTCTGACGCCACCCGTCCGAACCATATCAATCTGTATTCTGGTCAACATTCCTATATGACACATGGCTCTGGAGTCTGGAAGAATGCTAACAACCGTGCGGTGAACCACGCAGTGCATTCTACAACGGAAAACTCCCGAGCTAAAAATGGTGCCTTGCCGCCCAAAGACAGAAAAAAAAAAGCGTCTCGCATGGTCGATTCCGACGACCCACCCTTGGCTCAGGCGGGCCAGTGAGGGCGAGTCAAAGCCGAACAGAGAGATGCCAGCCCGTCTCGTTCTGGGTAATTGCCCGCACTCGGGACCCCGGACTGGTCTCCATTTCTCATGGTGTAGACTAACTAAGTGGGGTTCAAGGGCCGGTTAATGGGCAATTTGCCAGCTTTTCGACTCCGTTGAGGGCAATTGTTGGTTTTTGGTGGATACAATACCGTACCAAGAAGAATTGATGAGACATTAAGCCCAGAATCCGTTGACGACCGGCAGAGTTGCGCTTGGATTGGGTATCTGCGACCGTAGGGCGTAGAAGAATGAGTACAATGGCATGAATCGTGGTCAAATTTGTAGTCAAGACCCTCCTAAACCACATAGCTTCTTCTTAGTCCCCTCCCGTGTTGGCACTCGGCAGCCGAACGCGGCATCGTGTTGATGCCGACTTTCGCCAGGGGCTGAGGGGGAAGCCGACCACTACGAACGCCTCCCGAACGCCTCCCGAACGCGGCATTCCTGAGCATTCCTGGCTGACTTTCCGCACAGCGCCTGACTGCATCGGGTATAGAACTGTCACCTCGTGGCCGATTCCCCGCATCCTGCTAGCCATCGCTAAGGTTGCACCAATGACCATCGGCTAAACCCTTTCAAGTGGGTCATAATTAGTATTTGTCCACCAATTGAGTCTCCCTTTTCCCTCTAGGGCGTCACGGAGTCTTGGCTTCGGCTGGGAACGTTGCACTCGCCTTACTTGCAGGTTTCTCGTTACTAGATGGTTTCCATACACTCGATCTTCTAGAGTGCCCTTCTCGAGATTTACCCGAAATGAACCCTACCATACTTTGATTCCGATTAATTAACAGTTATCTCAAGTGGATTACTGGTTTCGGCCCCAGCATTCGGTCCACCCATGGGGTGTGCAAGGGGCTTGTTGACCACCGTGCTGCCAGCAAAGAAAGAAAATGGAATAAAAAAAACCATGGATAAAAGGTCAGAATCCAGTAAACAAGTTGTAGATCCCATGTCCCCAACTACTTAAACACTCACTTTTCCGGCGTAGCCCTCGTCGCGAATCGCGTTGAATTCCTTTTCTCTCCCGACGTCCTTCCTTCCCCCTCCCTCTAGAGTTCTTTGAGATTCTAAGCCAATCTCAAGGACAAAAGTCGCCCATTATGGTCGTCGTGGGGAACATCTACGTGATTGCAGCCGTCTCCGTCATTGGAGGCGGTCTGTTTGGCTTTGATATCTCGTCCATGTCTGCTATTCTCGGCACCACTGCGTACAAGTGCTACTTCAACCATGGCCCCGAGGGTCCGCCCTTCAATGATAATGAAAAATGCTCCGGTCTGAGCTCGTTGGCTCAGGGTGGTGTGACTGCTGCTATGCCCGCTGGTTCATGGTTTGGTGCTTTGATTTCTGGTTTCATTTCGGATCGTCTGGGTCGGAAGTACGCAATTATGGTGGGATGTATTATCTGGTATGTTGAAAACAGGAAGCACGGATACAAAGCTTCACCACAAATACTAAATATTTGCTCTCGTTTAGGGTCATCGGTTCCGCGATCATCTGTGCTTCGCAAAACATGGGCATGCTGGTTGCTGGCCGTGTCATCAACGGTCTCTCCGTCGGTATCGAATCGGCTCAAGTACCTGTCTATATCTCTGAAATCTCCCCTCCTTCTCTGCGTGGTCGTCTCGTCGGGTCCCAGCAATGGGCCATCACCTGGGGTATCCTGATCATGTACTACATCTCCTTCGGCTGCTCGTACATCGGCGGCGACACCGCGACCACCTACAGCCAGTCCGTCTTCCGCATTCCCTGGGGTATCCAGATGGTTCCCGCCGTCCTGCTCTTCATCGGTATGACCTTCCTCCCGGAGTCTCCTCGCTGGCTGGCCCGCAAGGACCGCTGGGAGGAGTGCAAGGAAGTCCTCGCTCTGGTCCACGGCAAGGGCGATCCCACTAGCCCCTTCGTCCAGGCCGAGTTGCAGGAGATTAGCGACATGTGCGAGTTTGAGCGCCGCAACGCCGACGTCTCATACCTGGAGCTGTTCAAGCCTCGCATGATTCACCGTACTTTCATTGGTATCTGGACCCAGATCTGGTCACAGTTGACCGGGATGAACGTTATGATGTATTATATCACGTACGTCTTCAGCATGGCCGGTTACACTGGTAACGCTACCTTGCTCGCTTCCTCTATCCAGTACATCATCAACGTGGTTATGACCGTCCCCGCTCTGATTTGGGTTGACCGCTGGGGCCGTCGTCCCACTCTGCTGATCGGTGCCGCCCTGATGATGACCTGGATGTACGCCAACGGCGGTATCATGGCTACTTACGGCGAGGTCGTCATCGGCGGTATCGACGGTGTCCCCGAAGCGTCGATGCGTCTCTCCGGAGCCCCCGCCAAGGGTCTGATCGCTTGCACATACCTCTTCGTCGCCTCGTACGCACCTACCTGGGGTCCCGTTTCCTGGGTGTACCCTCCGGAGTTGTACCCCCTGCGCGTCCGTGGTAAGGCCGTCGCCATGGCCACCTCTGCCAACTGGGCGTTCAACACCGCGCTGGGTCTGTTCACGCCCGTTGCCTTTACTAATATCCGCTGGCAAACGTACATCATCTTCGGCGTGTTCTTGACTACCATGTTCATTCACGTTTTCTTCCTCTTCCCCGAGACTGCCGGCAAGACCCTCGAGGAGACGGAGCAGATCTTTGAGGATCCTAATGGTATTCCGTATATTGGAACCCCTGCCTGGAAGACTTCCCACGATTCTAAGCGTACTATGGCTGCGGAGCGTGGTGACGTTGAGGTTTTGGGTGAGAAGCTGGCTGGTGGCGAGAAGACTGCTGCTGCTCATGCTGAGGATGCCGTTTAGATGTGCCCGGGTTGCGAGTACATAGGTGGGGGAAGACTTAAGAAAACAAGTTAATCTTCCAATAGAACTAGGTAGCCTTGTCGTGCTGTAGACTATTCTGTCGTGCCGGAATATATATTATTAGACCTTTCTAATACTCGTTATTTACTACCCGGACCTATTATTAATGGGAGATATATAGAGATTAGGAAAGTATAACATAAGTATGAATTCTACGCTCTATAATAGATATAACTTAAAAGTCTTTAGTTTTCTTACTACGGATACCATATAGCTGACATATCAGGAAATCTATTCTAGGCTTAAAAGTGGCTAGTTCGGTTATTTATTTCTCGAGTTACTATCGTGGAGGAATATGAATCATTTTCCTTGAACCCCTTTCTCGGCTGGCTTCCCTTAACATTTAACTATTTAGCATCCCCTCAGTGCGTAGATTTTCATACTGTTTAGCCACCTCCTTCTCCAGCCCTCGTGTGAATCGTATAACGTTAATTCTTTGTTTGCTTTTGAGATCTAATTTATCAAATATGTTAAGAAAATTGACTAGTGAATCCATGAACTCCACTCCACGCCATATATCTAAGCTTACCCCTCGCTCTCGGTACACACTGTAAAGGAATCTTAATTTTGATATCCTTTGTTAAGTTATTTTAGGATTCCTGGACAACTAGGCGGGAAGAACCACCCTTTAACATAAAAACGGAAGAACGACGGATCGTCAACCCTTCAGATTGGAATCGGCCCGGAATCAACTTATCATACGGGACAAAGGCTTTCCATGACTTGAAAGGATAAGGCGAAATATCTGCATGTCAGAAGACTGAATAGAATATTTAACGGTCAGAAGACAGGCAGATACTGTCACGAAACGCCTCCGAAACGTCATAAAGACTCGTACCAATAAATTATGATTGGTACGGATTAAACTTGAAGGTTTAGGCATAATGTAGAGAGAAAAGACAGAAATTCTTAATTGAGCTGTCCTCGTAATGTAAAGGATCTCTTAATTCTGAATTAGAGAAGGGTAAGATTCAGTTTCCTTGTATTACTTGGCACAATAAAATATTATCATTTTCAAAATGTTTTTGAATCACTTGGCCATCGATATCAATTCTTTACTTAATCAACAGTTATCTACACTGCCAAGTAGACCTTTACACACACCCACATACTTGCAGATACTACTCGTATGCCTACTTCCTACACCGTTGCACGATGCTATGTATGTAGCTACATCCTGTACGGTTTGAATTGCTGTAGAATATTATAGATTACAGGTACGGAGGTACATGCGCCGGCAGGGAGCCCTCGAAGAGTGATGGTCACAACATGATGTAGCTAACAGGATATCTCTGAGATTCTCATATTCCTGAATTGAAGAATGAAAACGAAGTGTCATAACTCGACTCTAAATATGTGGGAATGACTGTTGATCATATTGTGAAGCTACTTGCTAGTGGTTATCGCGTATGTGATCCAGCATCTGCTGGATTCTCACTGCATCGCCCTTCAAATCCAAGACATCCTTGCGCATACCGCGTAGTTTCCAAGGAGAAACCTCTTGTTTGATGTCATTGTACTTGTAAAATTGCGTCGCTCTGCCAACAGCAGCTATTCCGTAGACTGGAGACCGAGCTGCCGGCGGACGGTTACCGTGTGTGGCGCTTAAGTACTCATTCAATTGATCCACGGCTGTTGCCCAAACAGAGTCCCAGTTTTCGGTGCCAGGCCTCTTGCATTGAACAATGAGGAATTTTACCGCGTTGGTGGCATTAGCGCGATAATGGAAGACATGGAAGTCTGAATAGCCGTGTCGGCCAGGCTGGGGGGTGTGACGGTCTTGGGAACGGACTATGTATCCATCGGGAACAGGAAACTGCACGGACAGGATGGCGTTCCATATTCCGTACGAGACGGATTCAAGGGCCATTTGCGGCATGTTTTGGATTTCTTGAGAGATAGCGTGGTACTGAAGGTACTATGATAGCTGTGAGTTACTGGGAATATCCTATCTTGTTATTTTGCACTCACGGTGGTCATGATGGTTATTTGGACGGGGATGCCTCTAATCTCCATACAAAGAGGGTTTGATGCTTGGATATACAGCTGTATTTATGGACATTGCCTCATTCCCAGGCAGACATCATGAGGCTATTTCTGCCTAGCCATCTTTTATCATTTCCTCTAGTCTCAGGCAAGCATCATTAGGCTATTTCTGCCTATCATTCTTCATGGTTTCCTCAGGCTGAAAGTAGCCATATGAAGCTCAAACTAGAAAGGCATACTTAGGCAACAGACCAACAGTCAAAGGCAGAATTAATTAGGTAACAAGCCCTGGCAATTGTTCATCAGCTGGTAATTGATCCTTATTTTCTATTTTCAAAATAAGGAAGGGTCATCAACCCCATGCTTTGTAAGACGGTCAATTACCTTTATACGATAGTCAAGCGGCCCGGCTGTTCTGAACCATGCTTCGAAGCATACAAGAAACTCAAGATCGAGCAGGAATAAACAATCATCACTTACAAGAAGTTAGATGACAAGAATGAGCTCTTAACAGACCTTAATGATTATCACGTGGTGGTACTGAGCAGCTTAGTGGGTCTGGACCGAGATTTACTCTATAGGCCTGATTCTGAACGCCCTCATTCAAGCAACGGCAGCTAAGATTAGAAATCCCTACATGGCAGAGAAAGTGCTCTCTCTAAGCTTCTCTTAGAAGCCAAGAGCGCCGAGTAAGCGCGACTTGCCAGTCTAGAGGTACAGTAGCTACCGTTATTGCCTTCCATATCGGGTAATATAGAAATAGTCTTTTGCGCCCCAAACACATGATATGCCAACCCAATTATAGTGATTGAGTGAATTACGCGTTTCGCGCATATATGGTAATGATACCTGATATCTAGTATTGTACCTTGCTATATGATTACACTACTGTGGTACCAGTCCGTGGATCGACTAGAAAGCTTCATGCAAATTTGGTAAAAGCGACCGTTGCCTTCTCCGCCCCTCCGCACCCCATGAACGAGAGTACAAACTAAGAGCGCCACGCCCAGAAAGAAGGTTAACATCCTCTTCGGAGATAGCCAATTCCAGTGTCAGTACGGAGTAACTTATAAATCGTTATTATCTTCGGTAGATCTAGACTAGGCTATTCGAAATGCGCAAGCATGCATTGTATTGAGTATGCCTCGCGTAACTCTATTTCGCTGCTTTAAAACTTATCAAAAAACATTTCTATAATCCCTTTACAATAGTGTAGTTTTCATAAGGCAAAAGGGTTAATACGATATCACGACATACATATAAGAAGCAAGAAATTACAACATGCCCAAATAAAAGATGACTACTAACTATTGTATTTGTCCACTGTCAATATTTGCTTAAAACCGTTCAAAGTTAATCCATTCAGACTCAGTTCTAGGGACTAGCCGAAATTTTCTCTCCTTCGAAATTGTCATCGTATCTTTGCCCCGTCAACCGGCCATTTACCCTTCCTGAGAAGAGTAGACCCCTAGTTACCCCAAGAATCTGCAGTTGGAATTTTCATGGCCAAGGAACTCTGCGGTTACTACTCAGACAATCATATAGAGCAACCCCCGAACCTTACGATAATTATTGGAAATATCAGATGAGCTAATATCATCTGACTGAGCCATGAGTGGGAGGCTAAAATCGGGATTTGGATGATGTCATGTATAGAAAGACATATTGATGATTTATAGTGCCTTATAGAGTAGATGTACTTTTTTTAATCAATCCTTTCCGGCTTATTTCTTATCAGTGTGCCTCTGGTGTAGATTTTGTGACAGGAAGATATGATTAGCCGGAGTACGATATTTCGGGGACGCGAGGGAAATATGCTTAAAATATACTTCCCGGGGCGAAGCGCGTCAATCGCCGGTTACGGGCCGCGAGCCGCGGGCACCTGCTTCGGTGTCATTGGCATGAATCCGTGAACCCTTTGCACAGCCTAGAGAGCCGATACTAGGGACATGGAACGTTTTGAAAGGCCCGCAAGTATACAATTCAGATTCTTGATTTCTGGAGGGGTGATACTGAGGGTATCTCGAATCATTTTCGCAGGGAGGTCAGGCACCATCTCTTGCATTAAAATTGTCATGATTTCTGGTAGAACCGTGCTACAAACTGGTGAATAAGAGACTGTACAAATTATGCCTCTCGGCTCGTAGCTGATGAACTGCACAAGTGGAATAGCCAGCTGGATGGGGGCTATATCGAGCCCACTAAGCATCGGAGCTTGAGAGGGTCCTACTCGGACTTGGCTGTGTACCCTCGAGAAGAAACAGGTCAAATGAAGTAGGCCCTTTCGGCCCGTTTGAACTCGTACGAACGGCGGGTTGTTAATACAGCGGAGCGACTCGAGGAGCACAGATCAACAGAAGAGTCTCAAGCTTACGATTTGTCGCACGATAGAGTCAACGACGATGCGATTCTCGCCAAGAATTTCCGGTGGCCCAGTGAGTGGCTGAGAGCGAATGGGGAGTTCCCGCCAAGTGGATGATTTAAGGGGAAGTTGACAAGTGCGGATCTATTCGACCCCCCTGGCTCAGAAGGAAAAAATCAAGTCAAAAAGGAAAGCCAAGAGAAACTATTGGATGAATTGCACGCATCGAACCTCCACCTGTCGGGCGTTTATGACTTCGTGTTCGTTTTCCCTCTCGACGACAACCTTGGACTTGATCCGCGTCCGTTTCTTCCGTCCTTTCTTTCCTTTTTTCGTCACACTTTTTTTTCTTCGCGGTTCCGCACGTGAGAGCCCGCCTTCTCTCCGATCTCGCGCAGTGACGTCTTCCTCTTCCTTTCAATCGCCCACGAGTCCCTCACATACCCTCCGAACGGCTTCAACAGACCACTGCCTGCCATGGTTCGCCCTCGTGGTCGGTCGCAACTGGGCGTGGACATTCGCGGCGACACCAGCGCGCCCGCAATGTCCACCATGAACGAAGTTAGCCCGATTGAACCCACTTCCCCGGACTCGAGCAAGGTGCGTATCTACCTCGGCGATTCCCTACCTTGTACAGAAGAAACGAGGACAACTGCGTTGGGCAATCAGCGAGGACTAACATCCACGCTTTGCGCTTAGCAATTGGGAAATCGCATCGCGGACAAGTCTCCCGGGAAGTCACCGTCGAAGAAACGTCGCAATCGCTCCCTCCTCCATCGATTCGCCGATACCTGCATCCGGTATACATGGCTGCTCCCGCTGCTTATCATGCTCTTCCTGCTGTCGCTGTACGCGGTCAACCCGACTACCTCCAACCCGATGCACAGCGCCATCTTCCTCTCCTATCCTCAGCCCCCCAAGACCCCCGGTGGACCTATCATGTACGGCAAAGGCAAGAAGGATATCGCTTTCGTGGCATTCTACACCGTTGTTCTCTCGTTCACGCGCGAATTCATCATGCAGCAGTTAATTCGCCCGCTGGCAGTGTGGTGCGGGATCCGGGGTAAGGGCAAGACTGCCCGCTTCATGGAGCAGGTCTACACCGCAATCTATTTCGGCATCTTTGGGCCGTTTGGGTTGTACGTAATGAGCCGGACGAACATTTGGTACTTCAACACGACTGCCATGTTTGAGGGATTCCCTCACCGTGAGCACGAGGGTGTGTTCAAGGCGTATTACTTGCTAGAGGCGAGTTACTGGGCGCAGCAGGCTATTGTGCTCTTGTTGCAGCTGGAGAAGCCCCGTAAGGACTTTAAGGAGCTGGTGGGTCATCACATCATCACTCTGGCGCTGATTGCGCTGAGTTACCGCTTCCACTTTACTCATATGGGTCTGGCTGTGTACATCACCCACGACATTTCGGACTTTTTCCTTGCTGTAAGTGATTCGTGCGAGATGATTTCTGTGGAAAAAGGTCTTAAAGAAGCTAACGCCGGCTGAAATAGACGTCTAAAACCTTCAACTACCTCGACTCCGTCATTGTCGCGCCCTATTTCTGCATGTTTGTCGGTATCTGGATCTACCTCCGCCACGTCCTGAACTTGAAGATTCTCTGGGCCGTTCTGACCGAGTTCCGCACCGTCGGTCCCTTCGAGCTCAACTGGGAGACCCAGCAGTACAAGTGTTGGATCAGTCAGTATATCACCTTCGCTCTGCTGGCTAGTTTGCAAGCTGTCAACCTGTTTTGGCTCTTCCTGATCCTGCGCATCCTGGCCAACTACATCTTCAACAGCGTGACCAAGGACGAGCGCTCCGACGACGAGGAGTCCGAAGAGGAGATCGAGAACGTTACCGAGTCCAAGGCTACTATTGCCACTGGAGTCGCCAAGGAGAACCTTGCACCCGAGGTGCAAGTCAACGGCGAGCCCGTGCCCGAGCAACGGGGCCCTCGGACACGTAGCCGCAAGGCTTGAGGAGTAATGCAAGGACCCGATAACGAAATTCCAGCCCTCATCTTAATATGATGCGGGTCTGGGGGTTGCATGCTTTTCCATCTTTTTTACATGTTTCCATTTTTCCCGTCCGTCATCGGTTGCATGGCCGGCCCCTTGGGCAGCGCGGCGCTTCCCTGTTTATAATAATGCATTAATGGATTGCATTGGAGGATCTTGTGAGAGGCTTAGATGATCCGGGGACAGGCACGAGTAATGCTGTTGACGTTTGTGCATGACTGGCATAATGTGCCTGAGCGAGGTTTATCCGCTTGCTTTGCCTTCTGAGATGTCACTCCCGGGTCTGAAGGAGCTTGATTCAAGAGTATCACAGGCCAACGACATGTGGTACGTGTTGAGCGGATGTGTGATGTCTTTCGTTTCGATTCATGCACAGTCCATTTTGGTATTGGTTTTGGTTCTTGTCTGTATTTATCATGACCTTTTAAAACTCTTCCTTTCTCATGTGATTTTAGCTGTCGTCGGTGTTTGTTTAGGAATGATGGGCTATGCGGATGAGACGAATATATCAATGATTATTAATGTACTTTTAACCTGGTATGGTGCCTTTAATCTTTTTCAAGAATCAGTTCTCTGATTTCAGAACTACGCCACAACGAGTCATACTCTTCTGGTGTGAAACTTTGACAGATTCCATGTGAACTATATTCTCTTAGAAATCCGCTCCGGTGTAGCAAAATTCACCGCGTAGTGGTTTACAGGGGAGTCAACGTCTTTAGTGAGAGTGATTATGATCTCTCTACCTTGATTTCCTAGTCTATCTCCTCGAATAAATTTTGCGCATCTGTTCTCCTACGTATCCTTCTCCATAGGTAGAAAGAACCTCCTCAAAAGCTTCTCTCAATCTCGATCCTTCCCTAACCAGAATCCAGGATCTAGTAGCCTTGCGGGGCTCTAGGGTTCGTCATGATATAGCCGGGTTCTGATGAGGCTGTACACAGATTTCATCTTTGTAATATCTCTAAATTCGCATGCAGTATTTGTATTGACAAAACACAATCCCAGTCATCTTTACCCAAACATCCTCCAGTTTAGGAACATGGTCCTCCTGATCAATACTTCTTGAAAGCTCATGAATATTCTTCATAAAAGAACTCAACCCACCCTGCAGATCAACTCTGTCATAATGAAGCCGCCCAATGTTCACGGCAATCATCAGGACGTACGTAGCACGCCCCTCATCACTCCAATCCGACGGCGACGCCCGCAAGAGAGAGATCAAATTGGTTATGTTCTCTTGAATAAGGCGGACCTTGTCATTCCAGCACATCTCCCACCCGATACGCTCATCTGCGGAGAGGGTCCAGGGGGAGCGAATGATTCGAACGAGGGCAGAGAAACGGTAGAAGTCGTCTCGTAGATCCTGGAGCCAGTTAGCGAATTCTTTTTTTGCAATTGGGGTTTTCTTGGAGTCGTTCGTGCCATTGAATCAGGTCAATGAAGACGTTGCCTCGTTCTTTTAGGAAGAGATTGATCTGTGCTTCTTGGGATTTGGGGATGTGTGAATTTATGGGGGACATGATTGCGACGAGAGACCTTTCAGTTGAGCGTGGGATTGAGGTGGTGATGTTGGTAGTGGGGATTGTATTTTCAAGTGATGCTTGAACGTGGTGGGATCTATCACTAGAGGAACAGGGTTGTTTTATACTTGGGGCCTTGGGCCGTGGTTTCTAAATTCATATCTATTTAAGAAAATTCGTAAAAGGCTTTGTCTTCGTGGACTCAATGAAGGGGAAACCCTCTTTGAAGTAAGAAGGTCTCCTTCTTTGAAGGTACAAGCCCATTGAGCTGTAAACCAGGTGCTGGAGACAATGAGCTTGTGAAAGGGAAAAAAGCTGTAAATATAGATGGAGCACAAGCACTGTCGAGTAGATGAATTGGGAATTAAGAATCCATGTGAAAGGGAAAGAACATGACTCATTCTTCGAAATTCAATTTTGCACACTATCGTGATGCAAGTTTATCTCGACACGAGGGCTGGAGAAGGAAGTGGCTGAACAGTATGAAAATCTACGCGCTGAGGGGATGCTACATAGATAAATGTCAAGGGAAATCAACTGGGAAAATGATTCTCATTCCTCCACGATAGTGCTTCCAGAAATTAATGACCGGACCAGCCACTTTGGAACCTGGAACAGATTTCTCAACATATCAGCCACGGGGTGCCTTGAGTGAGAAAACTGAAGGTTCTCCAACTTGCACCGATCACGAAGCGGGGAAATTCGTGCTCGTGCGGGGTCACGCTTCCCAAAGCTCCCCGTGCCTCTCACTTTTATCCTCCTAGAGCTTGCTTTCACCGAAACTCACTCATCGTGAGGGAAAATCTTCAATTGATCATTCTCACCATGTCCAGCCAAGCCGCCCAGCTGCCTATACTTGACCACTTCGTCATTCTCGTGTCTCATAATGATTTACTTGGAATCTCTCAGCAGCTGGACGGTCAATTCAATCTTGCACCAGGCGGTAACCACGCTGATGGACTCACGACAAACAAATTGGTTCTTCTCCCAGATGGATCTTACCTTGAGTTCATTGCATTCTTCGACGACGTGGACCCGAACAGACGACGCAGTCATCGCTGGGGAAATGAAACAGAAGGCACCATCATCGACTGGGCTTTCACCCTACCTTCGGAGACCGATTTCGGCGTTGTGCAAAGCCGATTTCAAACTGCCAATATTGGTACATCTTACACGGATCCCATTCCCGGAGGTCGCACAAGACCGGACGGCACTGTATTGAAATGGGCAGTCTGTACACCTAAGAAGGGTGACGGGGATGCAGTGACCCCGGGAACCATGCCTTTCTGGTGTCTCGACAGGACGCCCCGTGAAAGGCGCGTTCCTTATGAGTTGGAACCGAACTTGACTAAACACCCAAATGGAGTGCAAGGTGTCAGCTCTGTATCCGTGCAAGTTCCTCATGGGGAGATACCAAACTTGAGGAAGGTTTACGATGTGATATTCGGCGGTCCTTGGAAATATAATGCTCATTCTGGCTCGACATCCGGCAACCATATTGTTTCTCTCTCTGGCGGCGAGAAAGCTATTAAGTTAGTCTTTTATGGATCCAATCCTGGCAAGGTGTCCCTATTGCCTGGTCTTGTTCTGGAGATCGAGAGTCTCCCGAATTGATTGTTCAATAGGATATGTGTCAACAACAGGACCAGATAGTGAATGACGAGTGGCAGAAAGGCCCAATGATGTACATTCCAGATTCATCATAGACTTGATGTTATAAGCCCATTGAATATATCGGATGGCATTGACGAGATGACAGAATAGTTCATAGCACGACAAGGCTAGTTCTATTGAGTATCTCCCCCCTTCAATACAAAATGCTACATTCGAGTTTTACATAGCACCATGGAGCCGCGGATAAAAAGGTTCAGTAAAAAAGGGAAAGAAGCAGGCTTTTATTGAGTATAACACGTAGCATCAGACGCTCTTGTCATTGACGCTAACATCGGTAGTCACCTGGATTCCAGCATGCATGATGCGCTCCTGAGATCCGTTGAGAGTGGTTATCACATCCACACGACTCTCTCCAATATGCGAACCCAATTTGAGTCCTTTCCGGGCTTCAAGGGATATACTATTATATGTTCGACGACTCGAACTACCATATGTCTTCGACGCGGTTGAAGTGTCTTCCTTGCTGCTAGGAAGGCCTAACAGCCGCTGTAGCTCTGGGAAGCGATGAGTAATCAAGGTGTTGAATGAAGAGATGCAGGCAGTGAAAATGGCGACGGCGACTTCCACGCACGACCAATTCATAGCGTCGACCATCGACCCTGGAGATTAGAAGATAGGTTAGTTAAAGTTGAATAAAAGTAAGAGAAATGAAATTGCACGAACATACAAGTATGATCAACTTGAAAGGAGTTCAGATAGCTCATTCGGATAATGCTTGTCAGGCATACACTAGCAAGGTTGAGTCAGTGAACTTTTCAATTTTGAGACATTGGGAAGGGTGAACCTACAGGAGACCCAGACTAAACATCACGACCAAGCCTATCCGCTTGCCCACCGACATCCTTAGCTGCACTACCTTTGGAATGGGTAAGGTGAATAGAGCCAGATCACTGGCTAATTTCACTGCAAAATTGGCGTAATAGAATATGTTCATGTCCACGCATGTACCTTTCACGAGACCCGTAGCATCCCAGGCCTTGTGAATAGGGGTACATTGGAAAAGCACCACTAGTGTCTCCGAAATTGTGTGGGCAACAATAATCGCTAAGAGCCACCAACAGCAAGCCCGGAACGTCTTTTCTGGAAAGATGTGAAGATAAAGTAGGCAAAATGACATTTTAATTGTCCCGAGGGCGAGGACATAGGCGAGCATGGTGACGAAATCGAGCTGAAACATGGAGTACAGTCAATGGAGACGGCTTTGAGGATTGCTCTTATGTCAGGTTTGAATACCTGGAGAAACATAGCGTGATCGCTGAAGTTTGATACGGTTCCTATGTGCTTGCCGAAGCCATATTTGGTCACTGTGTTTTGAAGATTAGATTCCCGCGTGATTTGCCGTCACTCTGCCACCGAGACAAGGAATTAAACATACTGAACATTGTAGTGAAGCATAGAACGAAGGTGAAGGCCTATAGCATGTATGAGTCGGAGTTCGAGATGGGTAACGCAAAGAGAGGCGCACCCAACTGGCTATACAAATCATATCATTGAGATTAATCCCTGTAAGATATCGAAGTCGGACGAATAATCGCACCAGCATACCGCCAGTTGAAAATACGATTAGAACAACATTGCAGATGATGATCTCCGGAATGCGCGATTGAGCTAAGTAGGCTTTACGCTCAGCCGAAAGTTCTCTCGCCCAAATGGTCTCCATGGTAGCTTCCATGGCAATGACCGACCAGCCGTCCTATGGAAGGATGAAATTGAGAAGCGAAGGAGAAAAGAGGAATTGAACAAAACATCATTCAGTTCGTGAGTCTTTTTAGTGGATAGAACGGAGTCTACGCGGCTGATCTTTCTGGATGCAGTATCTGTGCCGCTTCTGGCCTTTCAGACGGATGGCCTTGTTTCATCTGTCAAGAGCGGAATCGATAGGGCATATGTATCCGTCAGCACAAGCAAAATTTGCCCGGGCTGATAAATTAGTCTGGGGACTTTCTCAGAAGGTTAATCCAAGCTATCCTCAATTGGCTGGTGTCAGCCAGCATGCCCCACACGATGACCCACACTAAGTTTAAGTCAAAGCAGTAGAGGTTAGAGATAAATTGTTTCACCTGCAATCGGACGGGTTTTCAAATTAAACTTTCACAGCCACCGAATCTTATTCTGGTGGTCTGTCTTGTTTCTCGAGACCTCCCCACGATAGGATCCAACGACTCTGTGCAAGACAGTCTGTGTTAGCCTTTTATGTGTCGGAGAACACCTATAGAGGCAAGTGAACTAAGCGTAGATCTTATTGAAACGTCGCATAAAATGAGCGACAAGACTTGATTCTAGAGAATGTCTTCTAAACAGGTCTGACGAGAGGAGTTGCGAGGCTGACGAGTCACTTTCGGAGTATTCCCGGAGTGAGGCCGTCGTGGTATGATTGGTCAGGTCTAGTTACTTCTGAGAGTAGGAATAGCTTCGTTGGGTCTAAAAACAGCACCCGTAATAGCAATTGCTCAAAAGTGAATTGCTCAGACTGTCACCTGAGAGCAATAAGGCTGAGGTTCCCCTAGAGTTCTCAGTCGCGCTTGCTCAGCGCTCTAGGATGCTAAGGGAAGCTGAGAAAGGGCGACTGAGCCGACTTACCGAAGATATCTCAGGATGGTCATATCCCTTACGCTGCAAAATATTTAAAGAAACAATATCAAATAATAGTTGAGATAGTCATATATAACATCAAGGTATATAAATGCTTAAATGTCCATCGAAAGCAACAAAATAATTCACCACTTACCATTACTCATTTAATAACAGTCGCTTCATCAGCTATTCATACCGATTTGAAGCTCAGTCCAGACCCCACAATGCCAGTGCTCTGGATCTTGCCGCCACATTGGACCTAGATCCTCCGCAATCCCATCTAGTTCATCTGCGTATTCATCCACTGTTAAGCAACCACCAAGAAATCTGAGCCGCCCAAGCTGCACTGCGTACATCTTAAGTACATCAGATAACTGCACCATGTCGGGGTAAGAAGTGAGAAAACGAACCATATCAAGAATTCTCTCCGAGAGAAAGATGAATTTTGTCCTTTCACGGCTGTTCTGTTCCACCATGGATTCCGTTAAGAAGCTAAATTCGTCGCCATGCTGCGCGCTGCCCGCAAAGCGTATGTGAGTGGCCAGCTCAGTCAGGCTTATCAAGATATTGTAATAGCCTTCTGTCGTCCGAGTTTGAAGTCTGTATGCGATTAGTTTGGACCAGTACTTCAATAGTTCCACGCGGTATGCCCGGATCTTAACGAAGCTATCGAACCTATCTTGGTTGACCAGTGGCGCCCACTCGTTGAAGCTGTTCATTGTAAGGCGACAGCGGTGACTGATATGTATGCAAGGGTAAAATCAGAGTGAGAGCTTTCAAAGGTATGACACAATCTTAAAACAAGCTGTTATAAAGAGGTAGAATGTAGCCCTCGCATATTTTCGAGGGCTGAATGGCTTTTATGTACATCGGTTTCAATGATACTGACTAGCATCTTTCAAGATGAAAGAAATAAAAGGCCTTTGTAGCGTAACAAGGGCATTATGGTTTGAATGGAAAGATTGGAATTGGGCGTATATATATTTCTTTCACGAGAATTATCGTGTTCTTTGTAGACGCGTCCGACGAATAGTGACAATGCCGATGTACGGGTTTCAAAAAATGATTTTACGCAAGTTAAGATTATGGGACCAACCAGATCAAAAGCATTGTGCTGGGTCTCGTATTCTTTATTCGGCTAAGGTGAATGAAATCTCTCTAAGTCCTGAACAATCGAAAATCCCGAAACCGCTTCCTGGGGTACCGAGCGAATCCTCGCCCGGGTCCTACAAGCATTTCCAAAACATAGACAACGCTTTCGGCCCTGGTAGAGAAAAAAAATCAAATCTCAGACGGCATCTTCTCCTGTTCTCGAAGGGCTGACTTCAGAATTACGTGTTAGGTGAATGTTCTAATGCTGCATATCTAGGAGAGCAAATTTCTCCGACAGACGCAGCGGAGAAGCCACCATGAATAATTCAATCTGGCAACGGTAGGTAAGGAATCACAAGGACAGGATCCAAACAATTCTCGGGGTCAAGGGGTGTGCAAGCCGTGCATCCGCACTTCATCTGACGTTGAAGACGGTCCCAGATGGACCACAGCTCGGGGCTGCTGGACCATTTGATGCCCCTGCTCTTGGAAATCTCATCCATCTCATCGGCAAACCTATCCGCCACAACCAGTCCAACCAGAGCCTCTCTCAACCGTCCGACCTGCACCACGAGCATCTCTAGTATTGCTACCGCCTTCCATTTCTCTGCTGACACAAAACCGTAGCATTTGATCTTTTCATCAATTCCAAGCAGAACATCCTTGATGCAGTGCCAGGTTCTAAGATAGCATTCGTGAATCTCGTTGTTCTCCCAGATTTCTTTGGCCTCCATGTGGACATCGGCGTCTAGAAAAACCTCTCGCACTGCCGGTACGTACAGCTCCTGAAGCTCAGATGGTGCATCTCTCCGATAGTTCAATTGGGTTTCTGTCATCGCTATAGCACGTATGTGCCTTCTCAGGGTGCCAGGATCGACGCTTTCTTGGATCAAGTTCTGCCGACAGGTTCGAAGTTGGTCCATGGTATCTTTTCGGTCATAGGCGTATCTGATAGCACAACGGCATATGCTCCGGACCTCGTCAGGCTGCAACGTTTGAGCTAAGGTCATCTCACCTGTCGTTACAGTTGACAAATCTTACTTTGTGGAAATCATAGAGTCGAGAACGGAATATTGGTCGCAAGTGGCGTACGGTCGTTCACTAGCTTAGACTAGGGCGAGTCGAGCCCAGGCAAGAAATTCCAGGGTGTAATATGAGAATATTTCTGAGAGATCGGGTGCGGTGAAGTCTAGAAAATATAAAATACTTCAAGTGGCCATGTTCTGACTTATTTTCCATTTGGCAATCGGGTATTGGACACAGTCCATTGTGTCTGTTTTTTTTCGACTCGCCTCTCCGTCAGACTACAAAGGTCTTTCACACTTAGTTTCTCTTTGTCCAGAAAAACAATTTCAGAAATGCCGAACAGAATGGGGCAGTACAGACTTAATGGAGATTCTGTGAAGAGTTTGGGTCTATCGATAACAACAAAGCCCATGGGAAACAAATGGCAATGGGTGACCAATCTTGATTCGCCTACACGCAGTGCGGGATGCTGCAGGAGAGCTTGATTGGATGAAATGAGTTCTCTGCTATGGAATTTGGCTGCATGATAATGAGGTCCTGAGTATCAAGTGTACATCATGCCATGGCAAGAACGTGCTTGCGATTGCTAAGAAGAAGTGGACTCTTTCTTTTCATCAGTGTCGGTCTTGCCCTTGGACTCGGTGTTCGTGGTGTCGGGATTAGTGTCATCTTTCTTATCCTTGGGGGCCTTCAGGGAACAAATAATCAGTATGGGGGTACTTTGGACAGAGGGATATTCGTACCTCGTCGCTAGCCGACTTTGCAGATTTATCCTTCTTTGGCTCCGCAGCTCCGGAGTCCTCCCCGGTAGCCTTCTCACTCTTCTTTTCGTCGTTCTTTCCTTTGGGGGCTGGAGTACCTTTGCCCTGCTCTTGGGGTTTGTCTGAATCCTCCGACTTCTCAGCTGGCTGGTCTTCATCAGATGCTTGATCGGCGGGCTGTTTTTTCTCTTCCGCCTGATCAGAACCCTGATTCTCCTCTGTTTGCTCAGCGTGTTCGGTGTCCTCAGCATGATCGGCACCATGTTCATCTCCGTGGCCGTCACCGTGCGGCTGCTTCTCAGGGCCTGACTTAAGAAGGTAGAAGACCATCGGGCCCGTCACGCCAACTGATCCTAAGAGCCTGCCAAATCAGAAGAAGATTATTAGCAAGGAATTTGTGCAGTAAAAGAACTCAGCCCTTAGAGACACGCACCATGGCAAATCGCTGGTCTTGTGCTGATCGTGGCCCTTTCCGCTAGCATAAAATCGACGGCTGAGCAATTGAGTCGTGCGCCGAGCTACTGGGGCAGCATAGAAAGAGTGAGCGGCAATTGTAGCCCGCAGAGCAGAGCGGCGCGCGAAAGCCATTGTAAAGCAAATGTAATGGGATGTAGGGAGGATGGGCAAATGGAAGGGTGGAAGACAAGGGAAAGAGAAGCAGCGTCAAGGTGCTCGTCCCGCGCTGCACCACCGCCGAGCTTCCCAGTTTTCCTGCAGCTTCCCCTCACGGGCAGCCCCTGGCCGACGCAACATCGGATATCGCATTTTTATTCGCTACTTTCCGGTGTCGTAAGACCACTCCCCAGCCATCTTCCGTTGGTCTGTGCGTAATTGCGTCCCTGTCGGTGATGTCATGGCCTAAGACCAGGTACCTCCAGGGCAGTCGATATGAATAACGTTTGGAATCAATAACTAGAAAATGATCAGTCATCGCTTCTTTGGCTATTGAAGCATTGGTTCTACACAAGATTACGCAGATAGTGCATGGTATCCATCTTTCGGTAGAACAGAAGTACATGTATTGAGATGGATATATTTCCCGCCTATCTGATTAGATCGGCCCACTCTTGATATGGACATACTGTAGATGGATTGTTCGACTTGACAGGACTTGATAGGGCGCTGATAGCAGTCACTTTCAACAATTACAGCTTGAATGCAGGATATTTTCCTCCAATGGGACTGTATAACGTCGATGCACCAGGACACAGATGGATGAAAGTTGATGCCTCGAAAAGAAGGCATCCAGGCATTAACTAGCTCGTCATGACCGCCTCAGCTTTCAGGCCCACAAACCCCACGTTTGCTGCAGTTATCAGTTCCGTCTTTCGTCGCTGATAGCAGCTCAACCTCCCCCTCCCCTCAAGCTTCTCCCTTCTCTTACCCTACTATTTCTCCCCGCTATTGCCTCGACTTAAAATACAGTCACAGCTATGGCAGACCGCCAGGTTACCCAGCAGACTATTCTCAGTCATATTGCCAAACTCGATGACCCGGATGCCGATTTGCGATACATGTCCCTCAATGACCTGTTCACCATTCTGAGCAGTCCAAGCTCGAGCTTCCTTTCCAGCGACAACCGTTCCTCAAACAAGCTTGCAGAGGGCCTTCTCAAGGCTCTGGATGACCAACACGGTGACGTGCAAAACCAAGCTCTGAAATGGTATGCACCTACAGCTGTACGGAAGCAGAGCCGCATTGACTGACCACGCGTGATCAACTTTAGTCTCGGCCCCTTGGCAGTCCGACTTCCCTTCGAGTCACTTGTCCCCCTCCTCGAGAAATTGAGCAACCTGACTGCCTCGCAAACCATTGATACCTCGGTCCCCAATACCGCCATCCGCACCATCGTTGACACCCTTCCTCGCCCCCAAGCTGGCCAGCCCGCTCCACAAAACGCCGTCACGGCTTATCAGGCTGTCTCCAAGGTGTTGATTCCGAGACTTACCGGACCAACTCCGTCAGCATCTGGCAGACGAGGCTCTGTCGTGCGGGGAATGCTGGAGAAGGATCCTTCCAAGGGTTTCAGCAGCGACGCCATCGATGTACTCATCAAGGTCGTGACATGCTTCGGGCCCCTTCTTTCCGAGTCGGAACTGGTTGCTTTGCAGGAGCCCGTCATGGCTATCATTCATAACGATACCGCGGGTAACGTGGTCACCAAGCGTGCCTTGGCTGCCATCTCGGCCCTTGTCCTCTACTTCTCTGACAACCAGCTCAATGCCTTCGTGAAGCGGCTGACGGAGACGTTGTCTTCGCCAAATATCTCAACTGCGCACCGACGACACTTGATTGCCGCCGTGGGCGTGATTGCTCGCAGCGCACCGGCCAAGCTTGGTCCACATCTGAACAGCCTTGCGCCGTTCGTCTTCTCTGCTGTGGGGGAGGACAATCTCGTGCAAGCAAAGTGAGCCGTCCTTTTGGAAAATTCGAGTCCTTACTTCCGTCATATCAGTTGAGCATCTGTCCTCGTAGACTGTGATGCTTTTCATCCGAGTGTCAAAGTCAAGCGAATCATACCGCACTTTTTTTGGCTAGTGCAGATATCATCTGGTCAGGCTTACAGATCGCAGACAATTTCCTCGAGGAAGGGGATGCTGGTTATATCATCCAAGCCGGGGACGATGTCCAGCACGTCCATTTCTTTTAACGATACCCATGTTGACTTCCAATTTCCCATATGAGTCTTTCATCCATCTTTGGGTGACAAAAAAAGCCTTTTGCATCGTACGGAGTACATTCGGACACCTGAAGAATCCAGGCGCACCTTCCCTGCTGGGCGTTAGAAATAGCTAAGTCAGAATACGCCAATGCCACTTTCGCTTGCGGCTCCTCTTTGCAGCTTCCTCGTACAATATGCCCTTCCCCGTTTCCTCCCCCTTTCAAATGGGTTTGTTAGTCTTTTGATCCTCTCTCTCTCGACCGCTTCATCGTTCGCGCTGTCTTTATACCCAGCTAACCATACATCTTATAATCCACTTACCCTCTTCTTGCGGACGCTACGATGCATCTGTATCAGCTCCTGTTCACTCTCGCTATTCTTGCGAGTCTTGTGTACAGCTGCATCAATGGCCCTACCGAGCCTAACAATACCATCGACGTACCCACCACCAGCCAAGATCAGCTCCAGCCTGAGCCGGTTCCTATGCCCGGTTTTGACCCTGAGGATGTCGAAGATCAGGCCGAAAGTCTTCACCTGCAACTCCGAGGTGTAACCCAACAGCTGGACTACAAATGCGGTCCGAAATATGGGACATGCCCCAGTGGTACTTGCTGCTCCAGTGCGGGTATGTGATTCTCTATCCTTGTCGCAATGCATCGCTCACATGAAATTATCAGGCTTCTGTGGAACTACTACGGCTCACTGCCGTTCTCCCGACTGTATGCTTGACTACGGCCTTTGTGACACCCACAAGTCTCCCAAAGGGCCACCTACGAAGGAAATCCCACGCCCTCACATTGGTCGAGTTCCCTATGGCCCACTGGAGATTCGCTCGTGCACTGTTCCAGGCACTATTGCTCTAACCTTTGATGACGGTCCAAGTCGATACACCGGTGATTTACTTGACCTCCTCGACCGGTACGATACGCCGGCAACTTTCTTCATTACTGGTATCAATAACGGCAAGGGTCCAATTGATGACCCGAGTCTGCCCTGGGCTGACTTGATCGAGCGCATAACTATCAGTGGTCATCAGGTTGCCAGTCACACTTGGTCGCATGAGGATCTCAGCAAGATCACAGCCGAACAGCGTCAAGATCAGATGCTCAAGAACGAAGTGGCTATTCGAAACATCCTTGGCAGCTTCCCAACCTACATGCGTCCACCATTCTCCAGCTGCCTCCCTGGCTCAGGCTGTCGAGAAGACCTCGGCAATTTGGGATACCATATCATTTTATACGATATCGACACCGACGATTACAAAAATGACAGTCCGAATCTCATTCAGCTCTCGAAGGACATATTTGACCGATTCCTGAATGCTGGGGATTCCAAGACGAATTCTTGGCTAGTAATTGCCCATGATGCTCATGAGCAGACTGTCCACAATCTCACCGAACATATGCTCAAGACGAGTGCAAGGCTTGGATATCGACCCGTCACTGTTGGTGACTGCTTGCGTGACCCTCGTGACAACTGGTACCGCGCAGACAGCCGCTGGACCGGACATAAAAATAAGAAAGAGTCCCCCAAGAAGGGTCCGAAGAAGTCCACTGCTCCACAGCAAGTCTCTGTCGATGGCACATGCGGTGCGAATTACACCTGCCTTGGATCTCGATTTGGAATTTGCTGCGGTAGCAAAGATCTCTGTGGAAATACCACGTCACACTGTGGCCATGGCTGCAAGAAGGATGCTGGGTACTGCGCCGTTCACGTTCCATCCAACGGCGACGCCTGGGACCCCGTTTCTCCTGGAAGCAAGAGCGCCAAATCCGAAGCGGACTCCGATGGCCGAGTCGTCGGGACTGCGGCTGTAACCTCGTTGTTGCTAGCCCTGATCGTGGCAATGTGGATGTGAGGGCCCCGAAGATGGCGGTCGAGGAAAGGAGCATGTTTTTTTTTGTTGTCTTGGACTCGAAACCTTCGAGTTTATGGTTATACTTATTCACTGTCGCCAGATGGCCATCACTCCTTACATGCTTGAGTACCTTTTTGGATGGAAATTGTTTGACTGCGGGATTGGGTAGAAACTTTGCTCTGGAATGGAGGTCCATTATGGTCTAGCACTTGTTGTTTAGCCTGTTTCCATGCAACATTATTGGACTCAAGCATTTCTGATTTCCCGAAAGCCGTAGATCATTCTGCCCGATTGCTCTCACCAGGTCAATCCTCATCATTATCAGGGCATCATTAAAAAAAGGTGACAATGCATAGTACTCAATGACCACTAAGGAGACATGGGATCGTAACAAGATCATGCCGAATACTAAGTAAAATCAACACGTTCAAAAAAAGGTCAAGACAAGACAAAAGGGGTATAATAATAAGAACAATAACACATTATTTGAAAGAACTCTCCGCAATAAGAACCACCCATGTCCTCCCTAGGACAACAGCCCCAATGAAACCTATCACTTCCGGACAACCTTCAGAAGCGGCGCGATACGCGCTCGTTTACTCAATCCGACGCGATATGGCACCTTTGTTGTCGAAAGAATCGGACTGTGCTTTGCTGGGCCACTGTGCGAGGCTTTGCCTGCTGTCGGGTCGTTTTCTTTGCCTTCTGCCCGATGCGGTGTTTGGGGATGGAGTTCGTTGGTCGTGGCTGGCTCTGGATGGGCAGAGGGATTGGACTCTTTCGGTTCCGTGGTGGGCTTTGTGGGTTCGTTTTGAAGGTCGGGGACTGAGTCTGAGTTCTCTTCGATCGTGGGGGCGTTATCTGATGCGATAGGTTCTGGACCAGATGGCTGCGGCTGCCCTTCTGATACTGGTGCCGTTTCGGTCGTCTTCTTTCGCTTGCGCCCGCGCTTCTTCGGCGCGGGGACTTCCTCTGGTTGGGGAGTGCCAGGGGCAATCGCAGGCGTATCTTGTGCTCGTTGAGAGTCATCGGCTTGCTCAGTAGGTTTGTTCTCGTCCACTTGGAGAGGGGCTGCGTCCAGCCATATGACATCGTCGTCAACATCTGCTCCCTTGGGCTTATCGAGAACGGCCGAGGCAGTCTTGCTCCTTTTGACCTTCTTCTTCTTGGCTGGTTTTGTAGCTGCTGCTCCGGATTCGGTTGACCCATTCGCACCATTGCGCTTGGATTTGCCATCAAAAGCAACGGGAAGAACGACCATCAGGCCGGGTACATGATGAGGCTTAGCCTCACGAGTCGAAGGTCCATCTGAATCGTCGTTGATTTCGATAGTATCCCTCTTCGCTGCTTGTTGATTCTTGGAAGGTGACTCCCGTCGCCGCTTCTCGACTGTCTTCTTCCAGTCAGAATCAAAGTAATTCCGAGGCGCGGCAAGTTCATCCTCTTCATCATCTTCCGGCAGGGACTGTTTTTTTGGGTGAACGGGTTTCTTCTTTACCGCGGAAGCATCCACGGCCGTTATTGGGGTCACCATGGGCAGAGCTAACTCGTCATGTGCACTGCCCTCAGAATGCTGCGGTGACATAAGTCCAGATCTGGCATTATCACTCTTGGATCTACTCAATCCGGGAGAAATGACAGATGACATTGGCTCGGTGTCATGCGGAGACCACGTCTGCGACTGCATTGACCTGGACGGCTGGACTGTCTTGAGCGGTGGATTTGCGTTAACACCATCGTTCAATTGAATGGACGTCGAAATCGTGTATGTCCGTTCATTTGCATCACCAAGTGGAGATTCGACGTTATTCGACGTTGCCGGTGTACTGTATTCGTAGTCATTGACATGCGTCGGCACGAGAAGTTGCGTTGTTTCATATGAGTCCTCAACGACCGGTCGAGTACACTCGTAATCCCCATTGGCAGCCTCATTCACTTGCTGATATGTATAGTTCGGAAATGAAGGGTACGAGCCGGGCTGGGAAATTTCGCTTGGGTAAGGAGTCGCCGTTGAAGGGAGAAGCTGGCTAGCGCTGGAAGCGTTGTCGCCGAGGAGTCGGCGCTGCGCGTGTCCAATCTCAGTCATCATTACTCCTATAAGTATAATGTCAGTCGAAGTTTCACGAACAGGTAAAGCCGGTAGTTACGAAACGACGGCATTGTGATTTCGACGTACCAATTGATCCACCCCCGCCATCTCCAGTTGAAGGAATCCATCGTTCCTCTCGACGCTGCTGAGACAATGTCACTGCCGATTGGGACGTGTCCTGTGACTGCAAAAATTGATCGAAATTGACTTCGAGGTCTGGTTCAGTGCCGACTTCTTCAGCTTGTTGCTCAATTGGGTAGTTTGCTTGTTGCTCGTCGATATGGTGATCCAAGTTGTCCAGCAGTTTTTGCTTCGGGGACTCGTGGCCCCGAGGGGTCTCAACTGAGGCCAAGGCCTCGACCCCATCGTCCCCGAGAGGCTCGTCCTCGTCAGAGTCCTGAATGACTCGATCCCAGCTCATTTAGTTTGGTGTCGCGAATGCGCAATGAGCGAAGGTGGGCTTATCGACGCGTCCCAAAGAGACGCGACCACGTGACGATAAGGGACGGGCTCCGGCGAGATCTTAGTATTGGTCGAGGTTGACGAGTGATTCAAAATCGAGTACGTTATTTAGTGATCCATATTTGAGAATGTAAATGAGCATAAAGGACTTGCACATTTCACAGAGTCTGTATCATCAAAACTCCAATATTGAGTCCTTGGGCAGTAATATCTAAAAGGGAAAAGAACGAGGCTTATGCAATGATGCCGACACAATCAACAAAGATGACCGAGGTGGACAACGGTCACCACCCTCATAAACGAGAGGAGTGTAAAAACGCCGAATTCGCCCACAAAATACTATGATAGAGTTCCAACCATCCATAGGCTATGAAACACCAACACCACCGACGAATTCAAGAATAAAGGGGTTCCTAGGAAGCTGAATGGAACAAGATGCAAGGTATAGAGACGATAGAAAAAGGCATAGCCACAAGTCACGGGTATCTTCAAGCCAACAGACAGAAATGCATGGATACGGGGGAGGGCGGGCATCACAGAACTCCTCCCGGGAGGTTTATCTGTGCTTGTGGCCGCCCACTTTCAAATCCTGCGCTGTTGGGTGCGGAACCAGGAAGAGGGTAAGTAGGATTGTCTGGGTGAATCTTCCGCAACATGAACATCGGTTTCCGTCCTTCCTTTTCAAGCTGCTTGAAGAGAATGAGCGGTTTCTCATCCAATGCTAAGCATCTTTCCTGGTCTCCATACACGATGTACAGTGCGTAAAGTTTTGGATCGGAGTGGATGTTGTATTTCTTCAGAGCAGCAGGAAGCACCTTGTAGCAGGGATCATCCCAGGATACTCGGAATGATTTGAAAATTTCCACGCTCGATGGTTGACCAGGGGGTGCTGATGATTCACGTGAATTGGAAGGTGTTTCTGTTCGAGAAGGTTGCTGGTTTGGAGTAAGACGGTCGGCCCGGGATGCACTCCTCTGCGGTATATCATCGGAATGGTCATGTATGCTACGGCCGCCAGAGCTGGGTTGACTGTATGATCGCGGGTTGAGTGTTTGGTGTTGAGTTGTATGTGCGTTGGGAGAGGTGGGTGACGGGGCGCCTGGAGAAGGTTGGAGTCCCGCATTCACCGATGCCGAAAGATGGGACGAAGCAGCCAAAGCCGCAGCGGAGGGATCGAGATTTTGATTGTCATGATAATTCCGACCTTCGTATAAAGATGGCGGGATGTGTGTAGGTGAGTTATTCTTGGGTGTGGAACCTCCGGTGTAGGTCCGCTTGGAGAAAGCCCTGTGGAGTTTAGAAGTCGTGGAGTTGTCGATCAAGGTGAGTTGTGAAGGAGAGGTGAGAGTTGTGCTATCGTGAAAGCTGTCTGAGGATGCCCCCATCGAGGATGGAGGAGGCAAAGGCTGAGATCGATCTTTGGCGATTTTGATGACCGGCAGGATTTCTTCCCTTAACCTTCTGTAATCCTCCGCGAGACGGTGCAATTCGGCCTCGACCATCATGAACTTTTCGTCGCGACGCTGAATCGACTGAATCAAACGGGCGATATCATCCTGCGTGGCATTCTCGTTCATGCTTTGATCCGCGGCTATTATCAATGGTAAGATGAAGTCAAACGATGACGAGAGGCGCCCAAACTCACAAAGAGGGATATAATGGTCGACATCAAGAGGCACATGCTGCCGAATCTTGATCTCGTAGACACTCTTCAAGATCGTCAATCGGTGACCCACACTGTTGATTCCCATTTCCTTGAGTTCATCGTGCTTGAGCGCGATAAGTGCTTCGCCTACAATCCCATTTTCTAGAAATTCTCGAGTCAGCTACGTTCCCGTTGCCTTTTGGATACGATAACCCACCTCGGAAGGTACCGCAATATTGAAGCAGTCCAAGCGACGTCAGAAAATCCACACACTCGTCTGCTGTCCATTCTGAGATGATTGTTCGAGGGGTGCGCGGACCTTCACTTCCGAATTTGGTCGGGGTATTTTCCGCAGATGCAATTTCTGAATCTGTGGGAGAGGCTTCCGAGTCTGTTTGAAGGTGTGGGGAAGTGATGACACTGCGCTCGTACTCGTCATCCGCGTCGGAATCGGCGTGGTAGAGAGAGGTCTGGAGGGACATGATGAGGGCAAGGCTCAGAGTTCAAGGCGCTCGAGAAGCCGTGTCGAATAAAGGGCGCCAGTACCACCGCTCAAACGGATCGAGAAGCGGGTTGACAAGTCTCGGTGGAGAAATGTTTAGGCCGGTGCGATGCGACTGGCGGTTGGGCTCATAGGAGCGCACGGCTGAAATCACAACCAAAAGAAAACCTCAACGATTGCCAAGCGAGCATGGACTGACAAAGGACCTCGCCGATTGAGAGGCTCAATATGTATGTTTTGCCCGTTGTTCAGTGTCTTCTTGGTTGGTCACTTGGTGCCCCTTAAGACGATAGGCGCCGATGTGGATGAAGCCGAAGGTTGACGCGGGAAGGAGAGCGGGGAAGCTGATTCAGGTACGGATGGTGATCTGGTCGGCACGAGAGGAAAAGGGCGACGGGGAAAGAAATTTATCGATATATCAGTCCGCACAGACAGATTACAGCAGTAGCAGCAGCAGGTGACGGGCGAGTCAAGTAGCCAACTGGGCCTGGGTTGATGAGGACGAAAGTGGGCATGGTCAAAGGGACGAATCAATGGTGTGCACGTGACTGGGTCTGGACTCGAGGCTTGAACCTCTTCCCGACGAATCGACTCTCCATCTCACGGTCATATTATATGCAACCATTGAATTAGATGAACGGTAAAGTAGGGTCTAAAAGAGCCAGGCGGCGTGACTCCAGTTAAAACTTATTTCTCACCCTGCCCTCGAAGAGGCCCATGTTGTGTCAGATTACATATGCGGCGGATCAACAAAATAGAGTGTAGAACGTGCTGGCTACTGTGAAGGTCCCCACCCGTGACTTGACTAGCAGACGCCCCGAGTTTGGACGGTTCCGAGTCATTTGGGTCTAGAACAACTCGGTGGTGGTATGACGAGATTAGTTCGAAGCATTTTGACTTTCTGTAGCTCAACTGTGCTTAGCTTCGCTGGGTCAGATATTGAACGGCATTTAATCTCCCATGGATGAATATGATTTTTACTCTATAGTGATACCGCAACATTCATTCCAAGGGGAGATGCTGGGGCCACTATGTAGTAATATGGCATTTTACTCTCTCTAACACACAGACGCATTGATCTATCAAGAAAAAAAGTATTGCAAGTTCCTCGTACTAAATATTCAACTTCAACAAACACCGTCTAGCAAGCCTTTTCAATCGACTTGCTCTGATAGTAGCTGAAGAGGCACAAACGGCGAAATTCAGAGCCCTAAATTCTCACAGAAAGAGATCAGTAACTCGACTAACAACTAGAAAGCCCTGCCCGATTTACCAAAGTGTGTGATTCTCACAAGCCCAAGGACCCCCCCAAGACTGGAGATTCACCGCCCGCTTATTGCCTGTTCTCAACGCCGATTGGACCCCGTCCGAGTCCTCCGATCGGAGAGGAATTGAATCTTCACTCATCTTGAATATCGCCAATTGAGACAGTCGAGCTTTTTCTCCTGCGCATATGCTGCTTCTCTCTGCGCATGCAATGGGTACATATCTCTAACCCAGCGTCTGTTCTTCTGGCCGACCCTGTTCTCTCTTTTACCCTCGAGTCCCAGCAACTACAACCCAGTCTCCGCAACAGGCTAATCCGGGTTGCGCCTGGGTCAACGCGGCTCAACTCAAGTGTTTCCTTCGACCTCCAATCAGGTCAGTATGCGCTCCAGTCATATCGCTCATAGCATCATTCCTTTCCTTGTCCTCCTCGCCCCCATTCTTAGTCTCGCATGGGCCTACTCGCTTCAGCGCTAACTGGGGTCGCCGCATTGACAGGCCGGACCGCGGAACCATCGTCATTCTCCAATATCCACTTTTTCGCGCGCTGCAACCGCCCTCTTCTCCGAATCCGCCTGTTAATCCCTAATCTGTTTCCTTTGATCTAAAAGAGTCTTCATATAAGGGGCCGGTCCCCTTCTATTCCTCTGTCTGTTTAATCGCCTCGAAAATATCGTCCCTGACTGCCACCGGCGCGCATGCGACGTACAGCAACTTGGGACTCGACATCCCCAGAACGAGCAGACAAGACCCCGCGAGATTTAGGGGACATACCCCCGCGGAATTACCGCATAATCATTTACCTCTGAACACCGCGACAGACCTATCCTTTTCCGTAGGCTTCCCAGCAGCCTGCTACCTCACCGACTCCCTTCCTCACTCTCTACGCTATGCCATCCTCAACCCCCGCCGGCGGCGCCTCCGCCACCCCCGATGCCCTCGAATCCGACCTCCTCACAAAGCTCTCTGCCACATCTGCCTTGGAAGACCTACAAGAGAGCCTACTCAGCTCACTTCACCGCGTGGGGTGGACCGAAAAGATCACAAATCTCGCCACCGAGCTTCTTCGCGCGGGCCGCTGCGAGACCTTTGACGATGTGATGGAAGCAGTCGTCGCTTCCGCAGAAGGCAGGACACATCCGGCTTTGGGATCCAAAAATTCCAAACAAAACGGCGACGCAACGTCAAACGGGACGAAAGAGACCAAATCAAACGGAACCAAAAAGGGAAACGATGCCGCCGGCAGTAGCAACTCCAATACCCCATATGATCCGGTTAAATATATCGAAGAGGTGGACGTGCGTATCCCAGAACCTATCGTGGACGAGGGCGTACGCGGCTTGAAGGACATACTGCGGGAAATGGTCGACCTGGAAGACGAGAATACACCGAACGGCGACAAGAAGTAATGAGGCTAGCATAAGGCCTTTCCTTTGAAGATATGAACCTATGCATGGCGGCGATTCCCTTTTCTATTTCTTTCTTTGTTGTCTTTTTCAACTTCGCTTCTGTTATGTTTGTGAAGTCCTTGCGTCGGTTTTCGGGAATGGCTACGGCATCGGGTCTGGCATGTATCCCATCTACGATCCCTGGGTTTGCGTGCATGATGGGCGCTCTCGCATCGAAATAGACAATTGCATTGCGCTGGGGACTGATTCACCCCTACGAAGAAATTCGTTTTCCGTCCTTGAAAGTTTTCCGTAATCTGCTTGTTCATTCCCTCGTGCCTCGTCTCGTATGTTAAGATCACCACACACCGGAGACATCCCGAGAGAAAAAGGTCGGAATCAAACTATCTCCAACAGAATCAGAGCCCCTCCTTAGGTTTCTGCCTCACGGGCTGTATTTTGCCGAACCCGTCATGAGTATAAGTATCTTAAATGTCTTTTGAGACCTCTTTGAGGATCGCCCCCATAGTATCTCTCGATCTAAGTAGGTAAATATCATTCAAAGCATGACTAAAAAGATGAGTTCAAAGCTAAGTCAAGATTATGAAATTACTACCATAGCTCCACCATATAGTATTTTCTTACAATAATCACCTCATTGTATGTAAACACCTCGAAGTAACTACACATCACTCCATTGCCGTACTATAAGCTGACGAATGGCATACCAGTTACATAGATATACTCGGTAGTTTCTTCTTCTCCGTGGTCTAGTATGTACAACGCCAGGACTCGGAATAAATTCTTGGCTAGTCAACGGGATTTACCTTGTACCGACATGTTACCACCTCGGCTAAAATCGGTACTCTTCGGTCTGGAGACACTGCCAGAGATCGAGTCAACGTCCATCGAGTCAGAGTCATTGACAACACATACGCCTAACCGAGCATATTCCAGCTAACTTGAGGGAACACGGTGTTATGGACTTACTGATCGAGAACATGGAGCAAGTCAACTACGGTCCAAGAATCATCGAACAGCGCAAAAAGTTCGTTGGGAACGTCACCGTCGGCGACGACGTCTTCGCTAGTTGGGACATCTATCCCATCCCGCTAGAATCACTGCCCAGCCCAACGTCTTCCAATGCGTAGACATCACAGGTCTTAGCTGGATCTAGTCCTGCCTTCCACACGGGCACCTTTGATGTGGGTACAGCTGGCGATACATTCATCGAGCTTCCGGGATGGATTAAGGGTGCTGTCTGGGTAAATGGTGTGAACCTGGGCCGTCGTTGGACTATTGTACCGCAGCAGACGCTGTTTCTTCTTAGTGTCTATTTGAAAGACTGGAAACAACATCGATGTTCTTGCCGTTGGACCCTGCGGAAAATGAGGGCTCTGTTAGTGGTGTCACTTTAAGGGAACGGGGCAATTATCCAGACCCCGATGCTCCCTGAAGCCCAGCTGATGGAGTTTTTGACGAACGCTAGGTAATTGAGAGCCTCTAATATTTAGCTACACGACAGTGTCTGCTCTGTGATATTTTTGGTCATGTATAGCACGGCCAGAGAAGCACGCTCAGTTGGCAGTTCTTCCTACTTCTTCCTTAATCTTTCGAGGTCCCGTAACGAATGCCATAGCTATTTGATTGCTTATCTGGAGTCTTAATAATTACAATATGTACCTGAACTGGGGGTTCTATCATACAAAAATATGGTTAGCACGATCATAGTCCATAGGTAACACTCAATGGCTTGCGCCGACTTACTGTCTTGTCCGTCAGATCATCCTGGTAAGCATTCTCGTAACCCTCAGAAGTACCCGACTCATCTCGCTTCCTGTTTTCCCACACGCAGACAAATCGATAAAGCAAAATGGTAATACCAGCAGCAAACGACGTAACAACAACCGTGATAAAGCCTGGAACATAGCGTGGGGCATCCATCTTCTTATAGACGAGCGGCCCCGTGAAATTTCCTAAGAATAGTTAAGAACCCAGCTCCGACTCACAAGATCTGAAAGGCAACTTACCAAGACAATATCCAATGTAAAGTCCCGATGAGGCAATTGACCTCTTTGTGTATCCTGCAATGTTCGCAATTTGCAACCCCATAAGAACGGCATAACCACCACCAACAGCAGGAAGGATGTAGCACGCAAAGAGTAAGCCACCTGTTGCATCCAGCGGCAATACGACCAATAAGATAGCCGCCAAAGTAGTAATCATCTGAGCAGTGAAGACAATCCATGACCGTATACCATTCTCAGAAAATCGATAGGCTAAGTAAGGGGCCAGCAGCTGGTAAGACCCGCCCAGGAAGCCCTGCGGCATGACGAGAAGCAGGGAATTCAGCGTACTAAATCCGAAGGAGTTGATGATGATTGGAATAAATGTGGAGATGGGACCATTCGCGATCATGCTCAGAAGCGCGGTTAGGAAGATGAGCCAGAACTTCAGGTCACCGAGAAGTTCAAAGACCTGACCTTTCTTATAATGCGTGTTGCGGACGCCGGAGTTGTTGACTCTGAGTCGGGCTACAGCAATATAGCGCTGGCGTTCGTTGAATCCACGTGCACTGACCGGGTCTGATGGAAGTAGAAAAACCAAAATAATTCCCCAGGCAATTGTGATGGCCCCCGCGACAAGGTACATGTATTTCCACGGAGAGAGAGAGCCCTTGATGTGACCCAAACCATAGTTGATGAGCGGCGAGAAGATAGAAACATAGCCGGTACAGCTATACCAAATCCTGCGAGGAGTTAGAACGCTGTGAAAAGGTTCTGCTTGTGAGGGACTCACCCCATACGGAATGCTTGCTCATTCTTTTTGTACCATCCGCCCTATGTATCATCATCAGTCAAATAGTATGCCAGACTTGATCTCAACGGAGATACTTACCACCACAAGCATGAACATCGGGCTAATTCCACTTTCTAGCATTCCCAAAAAGAAACGCTGTGCATACAATGCTCGATAATTGGAGCACACCGGCGTCAAGATCAAACATATGCCCCATAATGTGATGATCATGGAAGCGATCCGTTCGATTGGAAACCTTTGAGCAAGAGTCATTGCCGGGTATGCCCCAACAATGAATCCCAGATAAAGAATGGCAGCCGCAAAAGCATATCTGTTTCCAACATCCAAATCTAAATCATTTCGAATGCCGAATAGTGCCTGTCATTTATTAGATTCCTGGTAGGTATTTAGAGAGCATAGTCAACAATGAAGGCAACTTACGGCCTGCGAGAACATTGCCTTGTCATAATACTGGAGTCCGTAAGTGACACACAGAATTGGCATTAGTTTCCAGTCAATACGTCGAATGAGTTTCTTCTCTTCCTCCTCAGTCCATGTCTCGTCGCCTGTGTAATTGGCAAGAACCTTGATGGCCTCGTCATTGTGAATGGTGTCAAGAGTCGCGGCCTTTTCTATCTCAGGAAGGTGAGAGCTAGAGCTTTTGGCCTTTTCAGAAACATGATCCTCTTGCGATTTCTCAAAGCTCGACATGGTAAGGTGGTAACCACTTATTGCAAACAAAAATTCAGGAAGATCTTGGGATGGCCTAATTATGAGCCAGACAGTCTCATACAGTGCTCGTAGAATCTCCGAGACTTTATAGAGAATCAGAGTAGGCGTAATTTCACTATTATTTACAAAGTATTCTCACCGTCATGGCAGTATGTGCAGATTGACGCTTGTTTAACCCCGGAAGTTTACCCCGGGATTTCAGGAAAACCAGTGCGGGGGTGGAGCCAGCCAGGACCTGGAAAATACCAGAGCTCCTCGGTATCAACCCGGTTCTTGAGATTAACGCCAAGAATAGTAGAGTAAGATTGCAGAGTTCCATAATAAAAAGCCCGAAATTTTGCTTAAGTTGTGTAGCCGAAAGTTGCCGAAACTTAAGAAACAGAACGTTGCCGGTATTATTGCTGATGGCTGGTAGGCCTTGGCGGGGATTCTGAGAAATGAGGGGGCCATTAATCCTGTCAGAAATGAATTTTTAAAAACAGTTTCCTATTCAAAGGTGGATAATCAGAATCTGTCAATTGAACAATTGAATCTCAAATGAGAGAAATGACTGCACTTCCCCCTTTCGCCGTGCCTCCGGGCCAAGATATCACCGTGAAGCTAATAAACACAGTCAACTTTGGCCCGGCACAGCTACATAGGTTCATGGCTCCACCGATTCCAGGCATGGAGACACACCCAAGCAATCCTTCATTCTCATTTCTGTTGGAGCACATCTCGGGAAGGAAGCTCGTTTTCGATCTGGGTATCCGCAAAGACTATAATAATTATGCACCAAAGATCGCCGAATACATACCGACGACCAAATACAACATTGATGTGACAAAGAACGTCGTGGATATTCTGAGAGAATATGGTGTCAAATCGGAGGATGTTGAGGCTGTCATTTGGAGGTATGTAATTCGCGAAAAATTGAATTTTCATTGACTGAATTCAACCAAGTCATTGGCACTGGGACCACATCGGTGATCCTTCGAGTTTTCCATCCACCACCGACTTGATAGTCGGGCCTGGATTCACGCACGCCATGCTCCCCGGCGCTCCCACAAACCCCGAATCGCCACTGCAAGAATCAGACTATACGTAAGATATTACTTCCTTTGCTGAAAGTGAAATACGTACTCATCACTCAGCTCTAGGGGAAGGAATCTTCGTGAAATTACCTTTCAAGTACCCGATTGCTTGACGATAGGCCAGTTTCGCGCATTTGACTACTTTGGGGATGGATCCTTCTACCTACTCGACAGCCCTGGCCATGCAATTGGACACCTCTGCGGGCTTGCGCGAACAACCAAAAACCCCGACACATTCGTCCTTTTGGGGGGCGACGTCTGCCATTATGGAGGGTTGTTCCGACCATCCAAATACCTGCCCGTACCCGAGTCCATTCATCCTCATCCATATCATCCAAACAGCGATATCGCGTTCTGTCCAGGCGGGGCTTTCGAGGAATTACAACAGTCGCGGGGTAGAGGTGTGAACGACCCACTCTTCATTCCGACTTTCGGCCACAACATTCCTCAAATTATCGAGACTATTGGGAAACTCCAAGAGGCCGACTGCCAAGATGATATTTTTGTAATTATTGCACATGATGCGACAGTTAGAGACGCAGTGGATCATTTCCCCTTGAGCCTGAACCAATGGAAAGAGAAAGGATGGGGGAAAGATCTCAAGTGGAGGTTCTTACGCGATGCTGAGAAATATTGGAAATCGAAAGGAGTGATGTAAATATCTCTAGACCAATAAAGATCCCCTCCAGGTCAATATTGATGCACTTTAATAAGAAATTGTGTATGGTCGTACTTAAAAGAAGTTGCGAATAAGAAATTTGAAACCTAAGATCGCTGTCATTACTGTTCTTACGCATAGTATCAAAATGACCGTACAGGAGAAAGGAGTCCATGATTGAGATCTCCTGGTTACGATGCTGTTTCATAGATAAGAACAGGCATACCTAATCGGCAAGCTACCGAGGTTTACCCAGAGGGAGAACCAAACTTTCAATAATTAACCGGCAGGGAAATCTTTCTCGGCTTCATACGGAGGCGTAGTTGTGGAGGTGGAGAAGCTCTCCACCCCCGCTAATGCTGGGTCTTGGGTTCGGTTGCGCGGCATTATCCCTGAGGAAGGACATAGTAGTCACTTGGAAACGCATGCTGATAAGGTCGACATCGGAAGTCATCCATCAAGCTTCTTAAGCTCAAGGGAAATCTGAACCAGAACGAAATTTCTCTTCTAAGGTCAGCCCTTGCGCCTCGAAGGCTATTTGAACCCTAGTCCGCCAGTTATGGGTATCGCAGAGGAACCCAGTTTTAGCCAGATGAACAAAGACCTCGACTACGATGTTCTCATCATCGGGGCTGGTCTATCAGGCATATACTCCACCTATCGCATGCGCCAACTTAATTTACGAGCGAAGGTTCTTGAGGCTGGCTCTGCAGTAGGAGGAACCTGGTTCTGGAACAGGTTGGGTGATCCATTGTGATGCTCTCTGAGAATGTAGCTAACGCAGTGTAAACTAGGTATCCCGGAGCCCGATTCGACTCTGAAAGTTACTCCTATAATTTTTCATTCTCTCAAGAAGTTCTTGATGAGTGGAATTGGTCCGAACATTTCGCCTCGCAGCCGGAGACTCTGCGATACTGCGAATTTCTCTGTGACAAGTTCGATCTTCGCCGGGATATGCAATTCAACACACGAGTCGTATCAGCACGTTTTCAAGACACTTCAAATTCATGGCGACTGACAGATGAGCAAGGAAGAACCTATACGTCGCGTTTTCTGGTGACGTGCATTGGCATCTTGAATAATTATACTATGCCAAATATTCCTGGTGTTGCAGACTTCAGAGGTGAAGCGTGCCATACAGCTCGATGGCCACAGAAGCCAGTCAGCTTCAAGGATAAGCGAGTCGCTATCATTGGCACTGGTGCAACTGGCATTCAAACCATTCAAGAGATCGCAAAGGATGTCGGCCATCTCACAGTCTTTCAGCGTACTCCAAACTGGAGTCTTCCTTTGCGCAACGGTCCCATAAGCAAGGAGGAGATGAATGAGATTCGATCACGTTATCCCGAGATTTTCAGAAAATGCCTAGAAACTTGGTCCTGCTTCATGCATGTTTCAGATCCCAGAGATACTCTCCAAGTCAACCCCGAGGAAAGAGAAGCATTCTGGGAGGAGTTGTATGAGCAACGCGGATTTGCGAAATGGCTCGGGAATTTTGGAAATATCAACACCAACAAAGAGGCCAACGCCTTATTCAGCGAGTTTGTCGCAAACAAAATAAGAAGCCGCGTGAACGACCCGGTCACGGCCGAAACCCTGATTCCGAAATGCCACGGATTTGGAACCAAGCGAGTGCCGCTCGAGTCCGGCTACTTTGAGGCTTACAATCAACCGAACGTCCGACTAGTGGACGTAAAGTCGAACCCAATCGAGTGCATAACTGAAACCGGGATACGCACGAGAGATGAATCGTTCGATTTTGACATGATCATTTATGCCACTGGATTCGATGCCGTCACCGGATCTTTCACAGCCATCGATTTCCGAGGAGTCAATGGGGTGAAGTTGGCAGACCGATGGGCCGAAGGGCCACGCACCTTTCTTGGCCTGTTCGTGGAGAGCTTCCCCAACATGATGATGGTAATGGGACCCCATCAAATGTTTGGAAATATCCCACGTAGCATTGAGTATGCCGTGGGTTGGGTCTCGCGATTTATTGAATTTTGTCGAGATCGCGGTATCACTTTTGCGGAATCGCCACGACAGAAAGTTCTCGAATGGACGGAGCATGTGCACACTTGTGCAGACGGTCTGCTTGCTAATGATGTTGATTCCTGGATGACTGGAGTGAATAAGAATCTGGCTCACAAACAAAAGCGCATTATCGCAAGATATCAGGGGCCCGCACCAGGTTATCGCAAGCTTGCCGAGGACGTAGCGATGAGGGAGTACAGAGATTTGAACTTGGCATGACTGATCGTCTTACTGAAGCGGTTGAATTATGTTTGTTATAATTATTGCCATTATTCTCCAGTCTAAATTCATATCTGTCAAGTCTATCACAGCGTAAAGTCGTAAATTACAACATTCTAAGTTCAATCGCTTGCATGATGGGTTCAAGGTTCCTCCCACGCCCCAGAAAGATCAGTTCTAACCGACAAACAGAAGACTCAATACAGAAGCTATCCAAGTAAGAATTGTGAGAGGGTATCCACTACTATGAGTGCTACCATTCGTTTGCTTGCTGGCAACAGCAGTGGTAGTCGTGTTGGAGGATGTAGAGCTGAACGAAGGTGCCACTACCGCCTGGGCCCCATCGTAATACTTCCGAATGATATTGCTCGCTTGTTCAGCAATTCCGTATGTCGAAGCCATCAAATGCGTGGACAGTGCAATGGGAGGAACACTGGCATCCGCGACTCGGACATTCGCAAGGCCATAGACGCGAAGATTCGCGTCTACTACGCCACCCTGTCCGCGAGGAAGCATCGCGCAAGACGACGACGGGTGATATTCCGTGCCTGCAGACTGGATTATCCAATCTAGCCATTCATCATCTGTTTGAACTGACGAGCCAGGCGATGTTTCATTGGTGAGCGTACTGCTGACTGGCGCAGTCTCGCCTAACTGACGTGCGAGTTTCAGTCCCTCGCGTAGGATCTCATGATCTATAGAGCGAGTGAGCAAATTGTTTCCAAAGTTATCGCAGGACGCTAGATTCCTCACATACCAATCGGATTATAGAGATAATTCGGGTCGATGACAGGGTAGTCCATCGGATCGGAGGAGTTGATATAGATGCGACCATGGCTATAAGGATGCTGGAGAGCAGCAGTAATGCCTACATCGCCGTTGCTATCGCTGTTCATGAAAAGAAGTTCAATCTGCCCGATCGGGCTATCGAAGATGGTAGTTGCGGTCGTGTTGCAAATTGCCGTATAACCCTCGACAACTCCGTTATCGTACGTCGTATTCGGTTTGTACTGATCGATTTGACTGAGGATGGTTGTCTTGAATGCATCGACTTTACTGCCATATATCCCGGTGGCGTTCACATATGCAACGGCGTCGTCAATGTAGGTCAGGAAAAGTGGGTTGCTCTGTAATCATTAGCATGTTTCAAATCTCTCTGTCGCTCTCAAGGAACATACCCGTTCACTGCCATTGTCGTAGAAAATTGAGCCTGCACCGTCCACATTTGTGGTCCATGTCACAGTTGCGCTCTGTGACCCTCAGTTAATTTCTGAATCACACGGCTGCTACGGGGTTTACTCACGAGGTGATCTTGGAGGTGCTGCCCGACACCAGGAAGCTCAGAAAGAAGATCCACACCAGCGCTTGACAAAACGTCCTTGGGACCCACGCCACTATGAAGCAAAACAGCTGGACTACCGATAGTACCGGCGGTTAGGATAACTTCTTTATTGACTTTGACGGTGAGTTTTGTGGTGCCGTTATTGGTCGTGTACTCGACGGCGGTGGCAGTGAGATTTCCAGTAGTCGAGTTGTCAAAAATGATGCGAGTGACATGAGCATTAGCAAGCACATCATAGTTGCCATTATCTGCAAGCGGGTCGAGATATCCAGTGCGACTATAGGACCGCGTCCAGTTCGTGGGATTAATGCACGAGGTAGACACTTCCGCGCCCCATGGCTGACCACCGTACATGTCGCTAGAAGCCGCAATACTCATGTTCACCAATGATTCCTCCCACTGCCCAACTTGAGAAAACGTGCTATATCAATGTCAGCATCACATTACTATTGAGAAAACAAGCATTAAGCTTACAAGCCAGGATATGACGCGTGAATTGGTCCTTGTGTGCCGTGGTGTGCCGTGTTCCATGTGATGTTTGCCTCTTGCGCGATGCTATCGGATGGGGCAGTGAAGTTTTCGCTTTTTTTCATCGCGGCGTAGAAGGAATCCCATCCCCAATTATCAGCCCCGTCCATGTCTCCCAACATGTCTTTCCAGGCATTGATCTCAACTTCTCCCGGGCGGGTCATATACAATCCATTGATGGCGGAACTACCTGTATTGCCTCTTGTTAATGCGAATCTGGCCGAGAGAGGCGTGTCGACGAACCTCCGAGAACCTTGCCGCGAGGCCAGTAAATTTCACGATCATTTGCATTAGGCTGGGGAACGGTGTAAAATCCCCAATTCAAAGGTGTCGTCCATAGCGAGTCAAAGTAGGAATATGCGGGAGTATCTTCAAGATTGTTAGAATCCTGGCAGACGCTACGCTGAAACAGAAGGCGTTTGTTTGCACGCACCTATACGTTCTCGATATTCATCTCCGTTGCCACCCGACTCGAGGACAAGGACAGTATAATTCGAGTTTTCCGACAGTCGAGCGCCTACCACGAGACCAGCCTGACCACCACCAACGATAACGAAATCGTACGAATCAGATATCTCGGAGCGCGGCGACAATGCATGCGCGAAATGCACAGCGACCGTGAGACAGGTGCCTATGACCCGCATAACGGTACAACTCGATCGCATCGTATGTCAGCGATGAGGTGCGAGGAAATCAGACGTGCGCAATCAACATTGATCATATATGAAACGACCCTTGTCTCAGAGATCTCGCAATTCCAACTAAAAAACCCACCGCAAAAATCCATTGCCCCTGATAGATCGAGCCAGGTACCCGAACCGCATTATGAAAGAAGAAAGCTTAATATCCACCACGCTATGGGTGGATAGTCTGAAAGCTACGTGTGATAGGCGCTGTCCGGAACAAAAGATTGGGTGAAAGTCTCTTGCGATCGCGGTTGTCTGGATTCGATCCACAAATGAGATCCTTTCCAGGTGCAAGCCTCTCGCGACCCACCTCTGGCTATCATGGTTGTCGAGGCCACGTTCAGCCAGCTCCACCAAGTGAATAGTTCCGCCCAATCTTTTTACTTACACTCATGTCCGCGGGTCCTTCCTGAAACACTGACGCAATGTACAATACATTTGATAAAGATTTGCAAGAGGGTGGAACCCAACCGTCGTCATTGTGCAATGCATCGCTGCGGTCCTATGCAGGAACTAACGACCGGTTTAAAAGCTCGTTGAATGTTTAAGCTTTTGATTAGGCGGAAAGGGTTCGAGTGTTGCCATAGTCACGGCCTTATGACCCTTCCAGCCATCTAACTATATCTAGTTAAGTATGGTGCACTGGCATCACCCAAGAGGAGCCAATGAAGATAAGACATCGCAGTAAGCCCCACTTAGCCACAAAACCGCGCGACGGTTCTCGTGGAGTAGCCACTAAAAAGCTGATCTGGATTTTAACCATCGGACACGTCCAAAAACCGGTCTGAGAACGACCAATCAATCTCGATCTAGCAAGTCCGCGGGCTGATCCCATCTGCACGCCAACACACATCGGCAAAAGGGTCCGTGAATTTAGCGATTTTGACTTGATTATAATGGTGTGACTTCGTGCAAGCTGAGAATGCGTCAACACAACAATCGCGTGACCCCCTGTTGCTTTTTTCTACATGTTCTCTTCTCCATCCGCGCACTCTCTTCTGAGGGTCGCTCGATCGACTGAGCAATGCTCAATGATACCACACACTGAAAGTATCTGCACTCTTTGCGAGTATTAGTATGCAAATAGATTAGCATCAGACAAGGTATCACAAGCTTGAAACAAGTCCTGGAACTGTAACATCGGGTCCGCAAAAACAGCATCGTCAAAATACAACTCCTCATGATGCGGTATCAGCAGTCGACTGGCAACGACACTGGTCTGTGGTGTCGCAAATGGAAAATAAGCAGTCCAGTCAATGCCGTCAGCCATCGCCATATACCCGGCCCCATCGCCCACTCCTAGCTCGGGACCGGGCGCTCTTTGATCGTCTATGTCCGGAACCACTGTACTCGGTCGTAATCGAGAAAATCCGGAATAGAAGACACCAGCTGTCGGCCACATTCTGCGCAATTGATCCACGGCTAATGTGAGGACGTCAAGGTCCTCATTAGCACCCTTGGACAAATATTCGATGCGCAGCGCTTGTAGGAGGGCGATAAATGCTGTTCCACAATACCAGCCGGTGATAGCCATGAGGAATCTAGTTCCACCACGCGAGAGTATATCTTTCATCACACGAGCCATACATGTTGCTGCTAGTATCGCTGGAGGATAGGCCTGGGGCAGAGGCTGTGTTGAGGAAGACCGTTTGAGGTGAATGACAATGATAACAGCAAGATATGGCAGATGAAGCTGATGAATGTTCCTATTGAATGTCTTTGTACTATCGGAGCCAATGGGTAGCTGAAGATGCGGTGGTAATGATTGTACCCAGTGGATGAGCTCGCGGGCGAGGTGTGCTGGGAATGTGGGAGAAGTCGAGTCGCACGTTCGCCCCATGTATTTCGCGACCTTGCCAATAATGGCGCATAGCCGTACCCAGTAAATGAATATCTCCCCATCCCCTTTCGTCAGTGGATTAGGAAAGTCTTCGAGTGTTGGCTCAGAAAGTGTGCAGTCCTCAGGATCAATGACGCACGGCTTGCTCTGGCAGAGGGCAGTCAGACGTTCGCGGGCAAATGCCGTCCACCAAATGCGACGTCGCATGCTTAAATCTATCTGTTGTCGGAGAGGGTGATCAAGGGAAGGTTCGCGATGAATCCCGAGTTGCTGGCAATGTCTGATAATCACTGATGTCCACCACCAGGATGAGTGTCGGTGGAGAATCGTCGGCGGTCGAGGACTCCACCAATAGAATAGGGAAATCGCCTTTAGAGATGTCATCACATCTGCTTCCTCGTCGTTATAGAACCGGGTACGCGCTCTATCATAATATGTGGCTGGCCCATCGTGTGGAATTATCGGCGGGTTGACATGGCTTCCAACCACAGCCAATGCGTTGACCAGCAGAGGAGACCGCATCAAATCATCACTTAAAGCGTCTCGATCTAAGACCGGACACCACGGATAACAGTATTCAAAGTATGTCTCTGCAAAAGACTGTTGCAAATTCGGATCGGGTAGAGTCGGTATTATGGCGAGTCTTTCGGCAATCTGGCGTTCTTGATCTCTTGCGTTGGTCTGAAGCTCCGGAAGAAATACGTGGCCGACAGGATAGCTGTCATTATGCTCTGAATGATCCTCCGTTCGTTGAGTGGCCGGGGAATCATTGTGGATGGTTCCCTGCACCGACCGGCTGGTTCTATCTCGAGTTATTTCGGCTGGCGAGGTATTGTCCGGCAAAGTCCATTCGCCAAGGTTTGCTTCCGTTCTCTGCTCATTTTGTGATGATGCTGATAAAATCGTTTCTGGTTGTATGTTTGGAGAAAAGCCAATTATGTCCGTATCTCCGTTGAATTCAATGTCGTTGTGGCCATTGCCGTGTGTATCCAGATCTTTGGCTGCATTTGATTGTTCTTGGCTTGAAACAGGGCCTTGATGCTTCTGCCCTGACTTGGCGTGGTCACTAGCATTGCTGTCTGGTGGTGTTAAGGGCGGAGCAGAGAGCCGCGACGGCCGGCCTCGTCGAGATGGTCTGGTTCTGCAGAAAAAGAGTCGGCGTCAATAGCCGTCTCGTGTGCAACAGGAGTCATGACACGAGTCAAAAAGACCCTTACCGGCAGTCTTTACCGGTAGTCGCACACTTGGTACAATTTCCATACCCCTGGCCGCCTCGCGTTTGAAGATCACATCTGATCTGTCTATGTCATTATTGATCGGACGCAGAAGTGGGCCAATCTCACTTTTTTGCTGTGACATGCAACGCAAGCTAGTTCTGCCCGTTTGCGCTTCGGTTGTTGACCGGTAAACTGCAGCCACAAGGGGGGCGACATGATGCCGTAGAATGCCACTGGAAGGTTTGCAGGGATAGAATAGTGTCTATGCAAGCAAACAGATATTCGATCAAGGTTGAAACTACATGCCGAGACGAGGTCCTCCGAAAAAGCAGCTAAATGCGGGGAAGCTGGAATTCTCCGCAACGGTAGCCTTTGGGGTCCCGTCACTCGGCCTTTCTCCGATCATGACATTTGAGATTTACGAAGCTACAAACGCCTATCTGGGTCAATTACGAGATTGTGTACATGCGAAAACTGATAACTTGAACAAATTTCTTCTTATTCATTGCATAAGCTACCTCTTCATTCTATATGCGCTATATCGGGTGCTCTTCTCGAAAACCTGAGCCGAAGTCGGAAAAATACCGGTTGTAAATAGCCGGTATGGCAATTGTTGCTTAGCATAGAATATGAAGGTCGCTAAACATTCCAGCGATCCAAGTTGTCGAGTCGTACTCTGCCGGTCATATCGCCTCGGCCACTGGTAACCTAGGGTTTGGTGTCTCCTCCTCCAAGATGGATGGGTGACACGCACGCGGAGTGGCCCAAATAAGAGTAGGCAGCTTTGGGGTAAGGTGTTGAGGTTGCGGGTCAGTCGATCAACACCATCTCTTATAAAGCCTGATATGGTTTTTGAGGTCTATAGCTATCCTCGTTCTAAATTCCTGGAATCAGTACTTTCTTTTGGCCCTTCATTATCTCCTAAATACCATTATGCCTGTCCAACTCCCAGTGTCTATAGACGGCGCACTGCCTGACGTTCTAGCCAAAAGCAACCTGAATGGCTTGAGCGACATTCCAAAGACCAACGGTGTTCATGTCTCAAATGGTATGAACGGAAAATCAGCCTCGCCGCCCGCCTTGAAAGCCCACAGTGACAACGACTTCTTCGGTCATTCCATTCCAATGAACCCAGAATACGCCTTCACGCCTCGTAAACTCCGGGTTGTGACCATCGGCGCTGGGTTTTCCGGCCTATTGATGGCCCACAAGTTTCAACATCGCTTTCCTGAGTTACAAGAATTTGTTCAGCATACCATTTATGAAGCCCGGAGCGATGTTGGAGGAACGTGGCTAATCAACTCCTACCCCGGAGTTCAGTGTGATGTGCCTTCTCACATCTACGCCTTTCCATTTGATCCGAATCCCAACTGGAGTCACTTTTACTCCAGTGGCCCGGAAATTCAAGAATACATCAAAAACACAGTCAAGAAGTGGAATCTAGATAGAGACCTCCAGCTCAACACTAAAGTTGTAGGGGCAGTGTGGGAAGAGGATTCTGGGCGCTGGAAGTTGACGGTCGAAAAGGATGGGGTTCAGCATGAGGAATACTGTGATATACTGATCTCAGCTCAGGGTGTCCTAGTGTATGTCATTTTTTCCTCTCCCGTGAGATGCACAAGCTAACTTTGCCTTCCAGCCATCATTCGTGGCCTGACATCCCAGGACTGGCTGACTTCAAGGGTCATACAACTCATTCAGCCCACTGGGATCATGGCTATGACTATTCCAATAAGCGTATTGCCGTGATCGGAAACGGCTCTTCCGGGATTCAAATTACCCCTCAAATGGCCAACTTACCTGGAACTGAAGTTGTGAACTTCATGCGCAGTCCAGCTTGGGTATACTATCGAGTCCCGCCATCGAAACATCTGGGCAGAGATGTAGAAGATGCCAATCCGGCTTACTCAGAGGAAGAGAAACAGCGATTCCGCAATCCAGAGAATCACAAAGAGTATCGGAAGAATATAATTTCTCGGACAAATAAAGCCTTCCGCCTGGTATGTCATTATTGCTGTTGCATGACTTTCTGGGCAAATTGATCAGAGATACTGATGGCGCATAGTTCATCAAAGGCGAAAATAACGAAGCCGCTTGCAAATTTGGAGCGCAGCAAATGGCAGAAAAGTTGAACCACGACCCAGATCTCTGCGAGAAGCTGATTCCAAAGTGGGAAGTTGGATGTCGCCGTGTTACTCCCGGTCCAGGTTACCTAGAGGCTTTTGCAAAGCCGAACTGCAACCTGAGCAACAGTCCGATCACTAAGATTACGGAGAATGCTGTACATACTGCCGATGGAAATGTCTTTGAGTGTGATGTTGGTAAGCAGCCTCTTTCCTTGAAACTTTCCGGACAATCGATCTGACAATATATAGTCATCTGCGCGACTGGGTTTGACGTTTCTCATTGCCCTCGTTATCCAATTGTTGGCCAGAACGGGATCAAGCTCGCAGACAAGTGGGCAGAGGAGCCAGAGTCTTATATGTCGGTTGCTACCTCCAAGTTCCCTAACTACTTTATGATGATGGGACCAAATTGCCTAGGTGGTCACGGGTCACTGGTAGAATCGCTGAACTGGACTGGGGACTACTTTGTGAAGTGGATCAAGAAAATGGCTACCGAGGACATCAAATACGTCGTTCCCAAGCGCTCGGTCGAGGATGCCTTTGTGAAGTACGGCGATGAGGTACACAAGACGCTGGTATGGACCGGCGGTTGCAAGAGCTGGTATAAGCGCAACCGCGTCAATGGCCGTGTCACTGCTTTATTTGGCGGCAGTGCGATCTTGTTCCACCGATTGATCAGCGACATCCGGCCTGAAGATTTTGAAATTGAATATAACAGTCCGAATCCGTTCCGGTTCATGGGGAACGGCTTTACTGGATATGAAATGGAGGAAGGAAATGACTTATCATACTATGTTGAGGTCGCAGATACGCCGTCTTCGTCGGCTTGATGGACTCTGTCTAGATAAGGTTTCAATTGAGTAATTTACAGTCTTGTCTCCGAATCTCCATGTAAACAGTAATTCAATCTGACTCCGGGCTTAGCCTCGGTGAATAATATTGTTCCCTTCATTCATGGCAAGAGCTGGCCGAGTTCTCATTGCGGGGCGGGGGCAGTCTAGTGTCGGCTGTCCTATCTAGGAACTTGCGGAGTAATTCAGACTAGAGTATTTCCCCCAGATCATTGACCCATAAAGCCAGTATAAATGCTCAAGTAAGAGATAAGCCTATATTTTATCTACCAGTCGCTGCAGTTAAACTCTACATTGATTTACGCTGTGCCTTCATTATGGGCACCTCTGATCGTCAATCGACAATGCATGCTTGGAGAAAGCATAAAGGAAACAAAGAGCCAGTCAGTCCACTCTTTGTATTCCAAAAACTCCTCGCTGACTTGATATCTCGAGGTATGGGAAGAAGTGCACATCCCTTTAACGCCCAGCGACGGTCTATTGGTGAAGTTACTAGCTTCTGGTGGTAAGAACCAGGTAAATGGAGGGGTTTTGGTCTCAAGAAGTTTGACATTATCTTTCCACAGTATGCCACAGCGATCGGGCCCTTCTGGAAGTCGAAGACCGTCCTCATTTCAATGAGAAATACATTTTGGTACCGAAGACTATCTGCAGACCTCAAATCAGAGTGACTAATTTCAGAAATGTTCAGGGGCATGAGGGGTGTGGTGAAATTATCGAGATTGGAGATGATATGGAAGACTCGCGTTTCAAACTGGTGAGAATATCAAAATGCTGATACTCTCTTGTTTGGATCAGAACTAGCTCACAAATCGCCACAGGGGGATCGCATAGCGCTTCTTGCTGTGCCTGGATGTGGACTCGATAGTTGCTCGGAATGCTCCCGAGACCTGGCTCAACTTTGCCCTCGAGGCGTCCATCATGGCATTGGGCAGGACGGATTTTTTGCCGAATACGTGGCTGTCAATCCTCGCGCTGCTGTACCCCTGCCGCATGGTGAGTCAAATCCCCTTCGACGGTGTATGCAAGCCCTCATCCAAGTTCTAGGAATCTCCCCTGCGGTAGCTGCCGTCGCGACTGACGCGGTCACAACGGCTTACCACGGCATCACCCGCCGAGCTGAAGTAAAGAAAGGAGAAACAACCTTCCTATTTGGTCTTGGTGGTCTGGGCTTCAATGCTTTGCAAGTTGTACTGGCCATCGGTGCCCGTGTAATTGTCTCCGATTTGTGCCCAGAAAAGCTTGATGCTGCTTTCGAACTAGGTGTCCCACGGGAGGACATTGTTCCAGCAGGACAATCAGTCCAGAATTTTGTCAGAGACAAGGGCTTAGCAGGAAAGATAGATACTGTGCTGGAGTTTGTCGGGAAGCATCAAACGTTCCAGGATGCGCAACAGATTGGTGAGTCCTGTAAACGATGACGAAGGAATCTTGATTATCATGCTAACACCTATTTAGTTCGCGCGGGGGGGAAAATTCTCTGCGTCGGTACCTTGGATCGCACAAATGAGTTGGATATGAAAATTGGGATTCGGAAACGGCTGAGTATTATTTTCACATACGGTGGTCAGTACCGCGATCTTGTGGAAGTGCTGGATCTGATCGCGAAGAAGGTGATCCAGCCCCAGGTAGAGATTGGAAATTTGCAAGACTTTCCAAAGGTTCTGAGAGACTTGGAGGATGGCAAGATCAAGGACCGAATTGCTTTAGTGTCTGAATTGGTCTGAGGAACGCTGAAGTCCTATTCATGTACATAGTGATCAGGTAGCCGCGTAAGGGAATCCTTCAGCTCTGGAGCTCAACTATCAGGTGTTGCTAACGCTCATAGATTGATCATGTAGATTATAATTAGAAAAAAATGTTCTACTTTCTAACCGTTCACACTTGCGCTCTTGGTCATTCCAATCCCTACAGCTGCCGTTGTCCCTGCGTCAACAGGCAGGATGACTCCTGTCATCCACCGAGCATGAGGACCAGCTAGAAACACAACGGCACCTGCGCAGTCCCATCCATTGCCCTCGGTACCCAAGAGACTGCGCTTTCGGCGAGCCTCTCTAGCCTCTTCGCTCATCCCATTTCCATACATCATGGGGGTGTAAAGCATCTATGAAGAGGAGGAATTAGACTTGGAACTATCATGGTACAACGCAGAGGTTTGCAACTTACACCTGGGCAGACACAATTAACTCGAATACCCTCCGAAGCATGATGGGCCGCCATTGCGCGCGTCAGATTAACGATTGCGCCTTTGGATGTGGGATATAGAAGATGTGGAGTACCGCCCTTCAAGCCAGCAACGCTGCCCATATTGATGATGCTCCCCTTGTTTTCACCCTCATTCCGTGCCATCATGGGAATGGCATATTTGCTCATCTGCACCATGCTTGAGACATTGATCTCCATGCTCTTGGCCCATTGTACCATGTCCACGTCGACAGCCGTTCCCGGAGCACCTCCGATACCTACATTATTGACGAGAATATCAAGTCGACCAAAATGCTCGATCGCCGCCTGGACTGCAGACTCACAATCTGCTTCAGATGTTACATCCGCACGGAAAGAAATCGCACGACCGCGATTGGGTTTGGCACCGACCATCTCTACGGTCTTGTTGGCCCATTCCAAATTTAGATCAACGCACAGCACGTCGCAGCCATCGGCTGCTAGGAGAATCGATATAGCACGACCATTGCCTATACCATCATCTAGACAACCTGCACCTGTCACAATTGCAGCTTTGCCCTTAAGCGACCGTGGAGGTGGTTCCGACGACGGGCCGGAATCCATGGTTGGTGATTAGAGCTCGCCCAAGTGTTGATTGAGAGTCAAGACTAAACCCTACCATTTTCATGCCCTGTCTATAAACTGTCACCGGTTCAAGCTCCTATAGTTTGCCGCGGCGCACTGAACACCGAACGCCCGAACGCCCGATCGTCGGGATCCCTATTTGGGACTGAACATGCGGGGTTTTATGCGGTCAATAGCCGAACCGAGGCGCGTCGGAGCAAATGGCGATAGTTCGTGCGAGTTCAACCCTTTGTCTCCATGAAGCGTTCAGCAACTTGAATATTGCCACCCAAATTGATCTTCGTTAAGCAATCAAGCTCCAAATCAGTATCGCCATGTACGACTTCTCCGAGTACACGGGCCCCAGCGCGGACTGGGTCGCACTCGAGCCCACGCTCACCCCGCTGCCTAACGTGCCGGTCCTGGAATTGAGGAGTCTAGTCAACAAGGGACGCGAAGAGCTTGCCGTCCATGGCATGAAAAACATAGGTATTTTTATTTAGATCCTGACAACAATATCTGATCGCAGGGCTCTTCACCTCTCTGATAACAATCCGCCCCAACACTTCGGGCCGAAAGCTAATGTCTTTCTCCACGTAGCTTCCCAGATACAAACTCAAGACTACACTATTGAAACTCGTGACGGCGCAGTCCTAGAAGCTCGCACATATCGCCCGTCTGGAATCCCAGCATCTCAGAAACTCCCGGTGTATATCCATCTCCACGGTGGTGGTTATCTCTTCGGTACCCTCTCCTCCGAAGATGCGATCTGCTCTCGAATTGTCGTCTCCCGGGTGCAAAATGACACCCCAGCCATGGTCTTCAATGTCAACTACCGTCATACCCCGGAACATGCATTCCCTACAGCCTGGAACGATGTCGAAGATGCGTTCGTCTGGGTTCATGAACATATCAACGATATCGGTGGTCTCGGCGACCAAGTCGTGGTTGGCGGAATTTCTGCAGGAGCTCAATTGACCGCGGCGTTGACACTCACTCAATTGTACGGGGATAACGAGCGTGTGAAGGCCTGTCCCAAAATTCGAGGCCAGGTCCTCATGATTCCTTGCCTTGTAATTGCGGACTACTACGCACCTCGCAAAGAGATGCTGCGTAGTCCCGAGGTATCTAGTTATGTGACTTGTGCTGAAGCGCCGATTTTGCCCGTCTCAAGGATCAACCTCTTCATGTCGTTGCTCGAGATAAGTAAATTCCCAAATGCCGGTCGCAATCTGCGCATGAATCCGGGCAATGCTACTGCGGAGGAGGCGAAGAATTTACCACCAACTACATTTGGAATTGCCGGTAACGATCCGCTTCGCGACGAGGGTCTATTCTTTGGGAAGCTGCTCAGTGAAAACGGGTAAGTTCAGCTATACAAGGGTTTCGAATCGCTGCTAATTTAGATGCTTCCAGTGTTCCTACTGATATCAATGTCTTCCCTGGTGTGCCTCATGGATTTAGACGGCATGGTGACAAGCTCGCTGCCAGCAAGAAGTGGGACGAGGTTATGAGCGGTGGTATTACGTGGGCGCTGAGCAATCCTGCAGCAGGTCCTTTCGAGATCAAGGCAGAATAATCTCCAGGGCAGCGAGACCTACTTTCGGGGGGTTCCAGCTATAGTTGCATTACATAGCATGGCGTTCTTTACGCAGTAATGTCTTCTCCCTATGTCAGAATTTCGGGCCAGCGCTTGCGAGTGAGTAATTGGTGTAAATCTACGTATTTCGACCACTAAAACAGTCTCTTTAGACAGTGGGAAATCACACTGGCTAGTCACAGATGCTGTCCTCCAGAAAGGTATAAATAGATCGGATCTACTTCTAGTTATCAGGCCAATCATAACAAATTGATTCTGGACCATTTTCTCCGTCCAAAACAAAGAGCATTCATGGTACATTGATCGTGTCAGCTTCAGTAATTGAATTCTGGCTTTGATGCTCTTGGAGAGGTTCTTCTGACTCCCTGGTGAGATAAGGTTCCAGTATGTACAGAGTCTCAACATTTCAGGACTTCTTCGCACCCTCGGAGGTTCTCCCTTTGCTCCAACCCGGCACCCATTGGTCCTCGATAATCCTAAGCTGAACCTCCTGTGTATGTTTAAAATACCCTTCCTCGGTATGGTCATCTTTTCCCACATCCATGAAGCCTTCTTTAGCAACCGACCGTGGCGTAATCATCAAAGAGTGGCCTATCATGTTTAGTACTGAGTACATGTATCAATGAAAATACGACATACCGTTTATTGTCCTATCTGTCGCAAGCTTCATCATACACGTGGCCACATCCTCTTGGGGAGCGAATTCAACCCCCTTGGAGATCAGCTGGGCTTCGTACTCAGCTGAGCGGATAGCGCTTTTGATATAACTGTGTTCTCATTAGAGAGCCTGCAGTGAGCTCTATCTTGGACAATGACTTACCATGGAGCAACGTAGTTAATTCGAATCCCTTGTTCGTGGGAATTTCGCCGCGCAGTTCTCATCAATCCGCGCAGTGCATATTTGGTGCTCGTGTACTGCCAATTTGCCTGTTTCAAAAGGTCAGTGGGAACCTGCTTACAATATTTCATGTAGTCTTTTTCGAATGCGTACAGGTGAGTCAATCCACGCCGTCATGCTTCCCGTCATGATAAAACAGCGATCTCGATCCTCCGTATCGGGCTGCTTGCGAAAGTAGTGCACGGCCAGTTTCCATGTATACATCGTGCCAATCAAGTTGACATTGACAATATCCAGCTTCGGCTTTACTGGCACATTATCGGGGTCTGTTAGGACTATTAGCTTATACTTCTTCTAAGCCCTATATCGTAATCTTTCAGGTGCCATACCATCCAAAGGCCATAAATCGTCTCCAGAAGCACGACTAATTCCGGCATTTGCAATGACAATATCACAACTCCGATGCGGTGAATGGGTAATCGCCGCTTCAAACATAGAGACTTGATCTTCCCAGGACGTGATATTGCATTTAACAAAGCGAGCATTCCTATGACCGTGTATTAGATCAGTCATTAAGAGACTACACCCCTTCTCGCCGTATGAAAAGGGACTTGACAAGTGACACGAACGGACTTAGCTCCTCTGCAACACGTTCACCCCTTGCAACATCAAGATCGGCAATTGTAACAAACGCCCTAGGTTCCATGAGATCTTGACATCAGCCAAAAGTTTCACAAGTCTGGTCCATTGACCTCTACGGAAACATACCCTTCGGCGGCAAAAGCTCGGGCCGTTGCCTCACCCATGCCATTTGCTCCTATAAGAAGTCAACACTGAAGCTATTGGAATTGTAAGATTATCGACATACCGCCCGTAATAATGACACTTTTTCCTTTGAGTACATGTCGGTTCGGTGGAATGGTGCAGTCCACCGGACCGGTGTATTCGTAGCGAGGTAATTGAGGCATCTTACAATCGGGTCGGTTGTCCTTGAACGTTCAAGATCTGGAATTTGACGATTTTGCCCTGTAGCTCGAGTAATCGCATCTGATGCAACAGAGATACCTTTATGCACCACTGTCAGTCATGCGGCTGTCGCACCCCGCATACTTCCCCGCGTTTGAACCGACTGCCTCTCCTCGGCAATCCTGATAGAGTATACCGATCGTATGCCGATAGATAACGACTATGCAGAGGTCATACACAAACACCCAAGAAGCTCTCACCCAGCTCTTGACCTCATTTAGATACGAATCTGAGAGGGCGGCACACTAGCCGATGATTCTGCTTGCGCGTAAATCTGATTCTTCCGTTTTCTTCGTCTGAAGGCTGTGGATATGACATGTGCAAAGTCCCTACCAACCTGTGGTAATCAAGACTAAATCCAGCAGCCCTTCATACCTAAGTGTCAATCTCCATATCTGTCTTCGAGTGAGTCCCATGGTTCTGCTCAAATCTGCAATGATGCTTCCAACAAATTTCTCAAGCGCCGATTCCTCGGCCCCCGACTCGCGGGGTTTCCGCTTCATCAAATCCCAGTCCTCTTGTACTTGCGTTGTCTCCCTTTCCAATGATAGAGTTTCCCGTTGGTAGTCAAGTGTTCTCTTTCAGTTACTCTCGGCGCGTGTCCATTTGTGGCTTCATCCTTCGACGTGGCAAAAGCTTCTTCACGAGCAACTAAGGCTCAGACGGACAACAACTACACAAGCACTTTCCCTCGTTTCCCACCAGCATTGCTGTTATGTAAAGTATCACAACAGAAATATTTAGTCGTAGACACATGAGCGAAGAACATGAAGACAGGATTAGCAACCAAAAAAGAAGTTCTCTGAAGGGAGTCCAACTAGAAGAATATCCAAGTCCAATGTGATGGATTACAAAGATAAGTTGATGCCTGGTTTGTCAGGCAACACATAGGTTACACATGTCGCTCACTTTATCTTTCAGCTTCATATCTTGGCTCAACGGTACTACGGTATTCTCAAAAACTGTTATATACCTTTGCACCCAATTTGAATCTTGAATCAAAGTCGCTGTCATTATATCATGGGTATGAGAACCAAAAAACACGTCCCCAGTGACCTCGGGTTATATCTCGCTAAAGAACAAGGACAATGTCGCCTCCGCCTCTGATGAGATGCAAACAAATGCCGTCAAACGCCGGGTAGAGAATTATTATAACCAAGTCCCTCGTGGAGACAACAGAAGAGCCTCACCGACAGATCCACCAGTGCAACGAAACGCCACAAAATGCCATGGAAGTAAAGAGATGTTATATCATAGGAGTAAGTCATTGTACATCACCATCTGAGTCTGCAGACGTCATAGGATGTTTCTGCTTCAGTTTCTGTCGGTGTTCTTTGTTGATCTTGTGTATCGCGGCCACGGTCTTTTGGACCTCAAAGTTTGCGGTATTCTCCAGGTCTGTGCGGGCTTCTGGGCTGAGCGTCTCGGCAGTCCCAACACGATCGTAGAGCATGCGTGAGATGGTGCGATTAGTCTCGGTATATTGCTCCCTGGAAATAGTCTTTGAGCGGTAGTGTGGCTTCAGGGCCATGCTGACCATGCCTCGAATATCGGACTTGACTGCCAGAGAAGGGCCGGCGCGAGTGGGTGACGTATCAGCAGACCGAGAATGTCTAGATTCGATAGCTCGCCGTGGAATGCGGGAGCGTGGGCGATTGGTCTCGCGCTGCGGTGATTGCTCCCCCCTGTTCGCGCTTGGAGAAATCGGGCTGCCAGAGAAGGACACTTCAGGAGAAAATGGAGGTGAAGAGGGTTCAACGGGAGAGGAAAGTTGAAGCGGGGACATAGGTCGACTGCGAGACAATGGAGGGGGAGTCGTAGAGGATAGGCGAGGAGAGGATTGGTTGGATGATGAAGGGGAGATAGAAGGAGAAGGTCCCGAGGAAAGATGGTCGGTGGGAGCAATAGAGGTGGGGGCTGACAGCATGAGAGGCGTGGTGCGATCGGTAGTGGATGCATCTTCCACTTCCTTCAAGAGAGATGACAGGAAGCTGGGTTCCCCCAAAGTGTTTGTGTTCGTAGTCGTGTTGACGTTAGTGCTGACGCTTGTTACGGCGTTGGAATTGGCGTTGCCGCTACCGGTGGCACCGCCACCAGCTGCTCTAGATGACTCCCCATTCTGTTGAGCCATGGCGGCGAGTTCCTGAGGCCGTCTTGTGCGCGGGCGCTTCAGCTTACGCTGTGGCTCCGTGGGTTCCGGCGAGGGTGATAGTGTCGGTTCCTTGCGTTTACGAGCGGCGCTTGGATTGTTCTCGATCTCACGTGCCCTTTCAAATGCGTTCCAGGCCCGCATCTCCTCAAGGGACTCGGGTTCAGGTGTCGGGTTTCGTGGCACTCGAGGTCGGGATGGCCGAGCGGGCTCAATATCAAATAGAGATGCAGTGTCCCGGAAGCGACTACCACCGCCCTGCCGCTCAGCGACCTCAAACCGTCGCTGCCAGGCACGGAATTCGCGCTGGTTGGCCTCCTCCCGACGGCGTTGCTGCATAACCCGTTGAGCCGATCGGTCATCGTCGAATGGGAAGTCCAGGTCGATATTCAAGTGATCCCATACGGATTGCCATACGCGGGCCCAGTGCAGGGAATTGATCTGGTTCCTACTCTGTGCCTGGCGTTGTTGACCACGGGTACGGCGGCTCCGCCGTTCATTTGTACGAGAGGGCCGAGCTGGTACCTCCGTAGTAGGTTCTATAGCACGCTGGGTCTCACAACGCTCGCAATACCATGCCCCGGAGGGGACATCCTCCAGTCCCACACAGTATACATGGGAAGGGGCATCGCAACCATCACAGAGAAGGAGAACATCTTCGTTGTCACTCTCGCCACATATTGTGCAGGGTTGGTAGTCAGCCAAGTCATCCTCCAAGTAGTCGATGACCATCGATGGATCTATCTCGGCGACCTGGACTCGGTCTTGGACTGCATACGACGAGGTGACAGGACCTATGGTACAAACCAACGTATTTAGCAACGAATCTCTCTCAAGGAATCAAACACTATTTATGACTCCATGGTAGCAAGGGGAGTAAAGTACATACCTCCCGGGCGGTCACTCAGCTCGACCATGTTGAAACTGCGGCGACATATCGGACAACTATTTGCCCGTTCGACCCAAGGCTTCAGACAGACATTATGCAGGATATGACCACAAGGGAGCAACTGGGCGATTTCACCAGAGCTTTCCTCGTGATCGAGCGTTGGCGCCCTAGCCGTCGGGTCGGCAGCATCGTGGAGATGGAGTCTTGGCACGGGCTCGACGGCGAGGGGATCACTGGCGCTTTCGCCAAGGTCTCCTAAACAGACAATGCAGGTGTCGGACATGGACAGTATACAAGATAGGGATCGATCGGTTGAGAGACGGCATGAAGCATCGAGGGAGCAAAGCGCGAGGGGAGGAGGAAGTGTGTAGAGTGTAAAGTGGAGAAGCGGCAGCCGGGCCTTTTGAAGGTGGGCCGGGATTTCCAGTCTAACGCAAAACAGGGCGCCAACGTGACGAAGGCGAATCACCCGCCAGAAGGGCGCATGCGAATGAGAAGCCCCGGAATATCGGTTGTGGGCTGGTGTACCTGCAAGATGATTTTAGTAAGATTCGTCCTGGATTGTGAGATTCTGAAATCCTTGTCGATCTGAAAACCTTAGGGGCCTGCACCCTTGTTCCAAGGCGCCGATGCGGCACGTCCTGGATAAATTCACGTTCTACTCGGGTCAACCTTTGGCGGCCAACAACCCATCTACAAGGTTTCCTAGTGGCCACAATTATGAGGACCTCACGGGTTCACCGTTTATCTGAGTCATGCAGCTTAACAACCAGGGCTGGGCCCAGGGAATATTCCAGACCACCCTACGCCACCCAGCGTGAGATTGGGCCCAAGCGAGAGGGCCAAGTGCACGATCTCAGCCTCATATTCGCATAGATGCCGGGAAACTGAAATCAAAATGATAACGCGTTGTTGTTGCAAATGGGATGATCGGTCGGAATGGTCACTAGTCAACGGATGAAGGGTAAAAGATGTCCAAATGGGGTTCTACGGCGATTGCCCGGGTCCTGCGAGGATTTGTGTAGGGACCCCGATGCTGATGGCGTATCTTAGACTGCGCTTGGGTCATGCAAAGGATCACATCAGGACGGTCGGGCAATCGAGGTCGCAATAATGGTGCAGCAGACAGCCCATGGCTATTCGGGTGGCTATGGGCCAACACCGTATATGTCGGACGATCCCATATTTACGAAGAGATGCGAAGAGGTAACGGGGGATGCAAAATCTTTATGATTCCGAAATTTTCATTTTTGGTATTCAGACGTAGCCGTAAAGAGAAAGGAAACCACATTCATGACGCTTAGATCTCAACGATCTCACGGAGACGGCGGATGGTGGAGCGGGTGGCAGCGGCGGCGGGGGTCCTGCGAAGTGTATCCTTGGTCAGCGGTCATGTTCGCGCGATTCTCGAGACGACTTTTTTTTCCAGGTTGGATCCTTTCCCATTTCCCTCCTCTGCTCGATCGAACTCAAATTTTTTTTGCGGGTCCAGGTGCAACTTACGAGACGGTGTAAGCACCACCGGCGACAGTCTTGTTGCAGCCCTTGCACTCCCAGATACCAACAGCCTTGCGCTTCACGGTGTTCTTTCCGCAGAAGGTGCAGATGTAACGGGCGTGCTGCGAAACTTCGGCCTTCTTGACCTGCTTACGCAGAGAGGCACCGTATCTGTGGGTAAAGAATTCTTGATCAATATCGCGTGCTTTTGGTTCGGAGGTTGCCAATTCTCGTTCGGTGTTTTCACAGTCGGTCGGACAGTCGAAAAGTGATCACGGTCGTTCGAGAATTTGGCGAGGGCGAGGAATTCATGGGTGTTGAGCATACCTGACACCGTACTTGCCGGTGATACCGACCTCTGGAAAAAAGGGTTAGCAACGGAGGAATCGAAGGGAATAATGGACAGCGATAAATTCGAGGCATTCGACATACTCTTGGTGCGCTTGGTCATCTTGGCTGTAAGGTGGCTGTTGAGCGTGAAGATGGATAGCGAAGTGATCGAAAAGAGGCTTTAGAAGAGTGGTTGTGGGTGGGCTCGCTTAGGGCTCGGGGCCTTGGCGTAGTGTGATCACCTGACTGGGGGTGATGGAAAGAAGGGGTTAAAACGGAAGGCGGTGAGAGAGACGGTACTCCATTGCAGGGCACAAATGCGCAACCTTATGTCATCGGTCTTGGGGCGAGCACAGACCACCTTTGTCCTGCAGATCCTCGTGCCTTGGGATTTGCCGGCGCTGCATGTCAGATGTTGAAGAATAATTAAGAAAAAATTAGAGATGATAGTATTGTATAACAGTCCCCATATTGAATTAATTTGCTAGTACTCCCCAAATATATATGTTACCCCCATTTGAGATTTCCATATATTCCTATATCTCTCTGGGGACCTTCTTTCTGCAACCCGTCTCGGTCCAATGAAGTGGGCACGCAGCCCAAACAAGCACAAACCGCCCGTCGGCCAGACTCAACTATCCGGTCACGTGCGATATTCTGCAGCTCGATCAACATCTTGACGACATTGCGAGGTTACCGAGGAGCTCTGTTTTGCAGTGTAACCTGGCAAGGATCTCTCAAAAGGCCTTATATTTCCTCAAGTTTCAGTCCAACATTCTTGCTTGGAAGGCCCTATCCCTTCTTCTTCAACTCCCTTCAATCGGCGGACCGAGGCCCTTGTGATCCACCGAAGAGCTCCCCCTAGACGATACATCTGCAAAAATAACAAGCTGCAGTCTCCACAACATGGCTTCCACCCGGCAGTATGACCTGGTCCTCTTGGGCCCCACTGGCTATACTGGCCGTTTCTGCTCAGAGCACATTGTCAAGAACCTTCCCACGGATTTGAAATGGGCCATCGCGGGCCGTTCGCCGCAAAAGATCGAGCCTATCGCCGAAGAGCTCAAGAAGCTCAACTCCGATCGTGTTCAACCTGGTATGACACACAATCCGCTTTCTCAATGAGCCTGACGTATCCTCTACTTATTCTTGAATGAATTCTAACCTTGTTCATGCAATAGATGTCCTTGCCGTGCAGCTCAACTCGACCGAGTTAAACGAGCTTGCGCAGAAGACTAGGCTCATCATAAATTGCATTGGTCCCTACCACCTGTACTCGACTCCGGTGGTTGAGGCTTGCGCTACGCAGGGCACCCACTATGTTGATGCGTAAGATCATGTCCTGTTCACACCTGCACGAGCAAAGCATTAACTCTTGCAGGACTGGTGAGACCCCATGGGTCAAGCTGATCATCGACAAATACCACGAAAAGGCCAAGAACAATGGCGCAATTGTAGGTGTTCAAGCCTTCGGTCGTTATCTACAGTTCCTTCGCTAATTACAGCTAGATCATCCCCTCGGTTGGCGTTGAGAGCGCCCCAGCAGACATGCTGGCCTGGGCACTGGTCAAGCACGTCCGAGAAGAACTCGCATGCCAGACAAGGGAGATCGACTGCTGCATCAAGGAGATGAAGTAAGCACCTTTTCCCCCATACCCAGATTCATACACGGATTCTAAGATAATGCCAGGTCCTCCGGCCCCAGCGGCGGCACTCTCAACACCGTCCTCAGCATCTTTGACTGGCTCCCATCCTCCGAGCTAACGAAATCAATGACCCCCTTTGCCCTCGCAGCATCACCCCCGCCAAAGGATATTCCCCGCGACTCGATCATCAACAAGCTCTTCGGTGCACGTTGGATCCGCGATCTCGGCACGGTAACCACCGCCCCCTCTGGCATGGCCGACGTCACCATCGTCCACCGAAGCAGCACCCTCATGCCAGAGCTATACGGCAAACGCTTCTTCTTCCGCCAATTCCTGCACGTGCGCAATTCCCTCATCGGCGTCGTCGTGCACGTCGGCTTGATACTCGGTATCTCGCTACTCATGATCCCGCCCGTTCGCGCGCTGGTTCGCAGATTCGTTTTTGCGCCCGGTCAGGGTCCCGCCCTGGAGGCGTCGAAGAATGATCGTCTTGAGTATCATGCTGTGGCGACGGCTGATCAGGAGGTTCCAGCTCCTAAGCGTGTCTTTGGCAAGTTTACTTATCACGGTACCATGTATGTTTTGACAGGCTTGTTGCTTGCTGAGGCGGCGATGACTATTCTCAAGGAGGAGGAGAAGGTCAGGAAGGTTTCGCGTGGTGGTATTGTGACGTCGGCGACTTTGGGTCAGGACTTTATTGATCGTATTGAGAATGTGGGATGTCACTTTGATACCAAGACTTTCCAGTATTAGCCTGTTGAGGCGCATGGCAATCTGTCTTCGGTGTGAGACGCGGAAATTGGGTAGCTCTTGGTCTCTTACCGGCTGTTTTTCATTTGTCCACTGTGGCGAAGTTTCTTTATCTACGCTCTAATGACTTAAGGATGCATTTTTATCATTTACTGGAACAGGATAATCTCATTTTGAACGAGTCATACCTAGTACACAATGCTCTGTAGGTTCTTATCAAAGCTTTCCCAAGCGGCCATTCGCAAACACGACCTCCTTCAGCCAAGTCGAGATAATGCTATTCACCTCCTCGGGCTCCTGCCACAGCGCCCAGTGGGCAGTATTCACCTGTTTCAGGGTCAGGTTAGGCAGCTGCTTAGCCATTGACTTGCCCAAGTGTGGCGGAAGAGCCGGGTCCTTGAGAGCCTGGATGAACAGAACCGGGATGGTAATCTTGCGATCAAGAATAGCCAGTTCGTCTTCGTAATTGACCTTACGGGTCCGATACCAGTTCACTGCCTCTAATTAGCTATACATCATCGAACAAAGGGATTCAGGACACCATACATGGCCCATGGACACCGCTCCTAGAGAACTCGGTCGCGTAATAGTCCAACTCCTAGTACGCGGTCAGCACTCCGTCACATCTCACAGCTATGATCCACACAACGATCCTACCTCTTCAGTTAACAAACGTGAAGTCTTCAATTTGGAAACCTTATCCAAAAATAACCCTTTGTCGGTATCAATGCCAACCTCCCCCTTCTCTGTGCGGGCCCCATAGAGCGCACTCAGGAACTGTTTAATCTCGCTCTTGGAACGAATGACTTTCTCAAGCTCTCCGCTGGCAAATTGCAGCTGATATGCCAAGTTCGGGGCAGCGTTCTTCACCAGGTCCTCTAATGACACATAGGTAGGCTGCGGCCGGGCGTAGGGTACGCAAACAGTGAAGAGGTGGCTGACTAGTTCGGGATGCCAGAGAGCGATTCGATAGGAGAGTGCCGCGCCCCTTGTGTACCTTTTTAGCTTGAATGAACTTGATTATCAATGTGGTCTGTATTCGTACCAGTCATGCCCGCCCAGGATGATTTTAGACTCTCCCAGATGATTGGCGAGAGCCTTGATATCATCAGCGCACCGTTTATGAGAGTAGAGTGTAAAATCGTCGGGCGCATCCTAGGTATTCATTAGCAGATGTTCGTTTACAATTTGGGCCTGGTTTCCGTCAATATACTCACTGTTCGGCCGTAGCCGAGGCAGTCTGGTGCGACGACTCGCAATCCCATGTCCACTAGCATGGGAATTTGGTAGCGCCATCCCATTGAGAGATCTGGGAAGCCATGGATCTACAAAGAGACTCGACATTAGACTACCGTAGTACAGCCACTTGAAGGGAGGTATTGTAGCTCACCAGGAAGATCGTAGCTCGGTACTTGCCTGATTGAGGCTGACTGAGGAGGTAGCCTGCATTTAGAGCATGAAGTATCAGATACCGCACAATCTTGAGATATTTGATCAACTGCTTGGAGGGGGTCGAATCAAATCAAAATGTTTCTGATGAATACTGACCGTACTTGTGGCCATTCACCGTGGCCGACTTGTACAAGATGCGAGGATCACCGGAGACTCGGATCTTGTCAACTGGCATACTGGCGTTTATGCTCTGTATCTTGGGCTTTTAAGTACGGTTGGATATCATCAAGTATACTCAAGTTCAAAAACTGCTCGAACCAGATAGAATGATCAGAGTGTGGTGCATTGCTGCTAGGTGAGTCCGATATATATCCAAACCAAAGTCCACTAGTCTTCACGTGAATAACCACTAGATTAAATGCAACGTTGCCCCAAACTCAAAAGGGGTGTGTAGGTTTGATGAATAATAACAGGTAGAACCGGGGAAACTTCTTGAAACGGTCTACTCAAATTAGTTCCACCCCGGACTAGTTTATCTTGGACTCTGAGGGGAAGCTCCGTAGGTGGCAAGCCGAGGGGCCCCTCTCTCGGTATGCCTCGGCTGCAGAACGCTACAAGCTCCAAGAGCTCCGCACCACCCATCGTCATTGCATACTGTAGAATCAAGATAGACGCAATAATCGATTGTTAGACGTCACTATTTAGGTATCCTAAAGTCCGGAATATAGAATAAATAAACTCGATATACGATCGCTAATAAATCACGGTATCCTCGTTATCCTCCAGCATTTCATCCCCATCGTCGTCGTGGGCAGTACGGTGAGCATCATCCTTAGAATCCGCAGCATCGGCCCCGTCAGCAGGGGCTGCCTCGGGTTGAATGGGTTCGGAAGGTGGTTCCTTGCTGGATTGTGCATCTTTCTCCACCGGAGCCTCCTTGGGCTCTTTGTCATCAGCCTCGGGGTTGGGCAATGCGGCTTGCTCAGAGACCGGCTCTGCAGTTGGCTTTGCCTGCTTCGGCTGCTCTTCTGATTCTGCTTGCGGACCAGCCGCCTCTGCGGATATTGGCTCAGGCTTCTCATATACGAAGGCCTCGGGCGGATACCGGGCATCGAATTCGGCGACTTCCCGGGCGACCGTCGCTTCGGCCTCTTCGACTTGTTCCCGTATCACGTCTTCGTCGCCGGACCGTAGTTGCCATGGCTTGTAGTACTATACAGCAAACTCATTAGCCTAAGATGCCACTGGATCAGGAGTCGCACTGAACATACCAGGACTGGTTCTGTTCGCGTCTTGAGGAAATGCGCGATGGCTATCAAGTTCGAATGCCGAGTTTGCATCTATCCATATACGATTTGTCAGTCAATCATGGTCACCCCAACGGCCTTGTAAACCTGGTACAAGCAGGCATGGTCAACGTACAGCCTCCCGCTCATAAAACGGTGTCTCTTTCCTGCGAATGACATCACGTCTTTCCCGGCGCCGCTTCTTCAATTCATCATATTCATCCGCCTGAGACTTGAGCTTATCCTGCTGCCGCTTCTCAATATCAGCGCGCCGCTTCTGCGCCGCCGACGTTGAGCTCTGTGAGAGCGTGCCAAGTAGCCCACCGAACAGCCGCTGCCCGCGCTTGCGGTCTTCCTCTCGGCCCTGCCGATTGGGCCTCCGTTCAGCGGGACGATCTGGCGCGGACCCCTGTGGCGAATGCTGTTGTCGCCCGGCCTGTGGAGAGATCTCGCCTTGAGAGCTGAGGCGGCGGCGCTTGATTTCGTGCTCCGATACGGAGGATTGTCTCCTTTTCGTGAAGATCTCGGAAGAAAAAAAAAAATTAAAAAAAAAAGGCACGGCGACTGCCGACGCGAGGGTTCTGCGAGTAAAGAAAGTCCAAGGTCAGCGTAAATGCTCAGTCGCAAATTGTCACGACACTGCGCCCGAAGAATCGGCGTACCCTTCAGACATGGTGGACCAAGCGATGGTCGCAATCTGAAATGAAAGGAAGGGAAGCGGAGGTTATAAAGGGGCCTTCCAGCAAGCATCAACTAGTCTCTCGTCCTCAACGCTCTGGCCAAAAATTCTCCGAAACCCTTCGACTCAGTCCAGCAGTGCACACGCGCGAGTAGCTCGGAATCGGGGGTGGCGGGGGCACGTGCACGCGTCCCATCCGACTTCTGCGAGCTTCTTTTCCTCTCCAAACCACCACCTCCGAACCAGCTTTGTAATTCACCACCCTTCCTCAGGCCAGCAGGCTACACATAACACGCTCCTTCACCTTCTTACCCCCCTCATCCTCATCTCCTCCTCTACTCTGCACCCACCATGTCTCGCCATCACCCCGATCTCGTCATGTGCCGCAAGCAACCCGGCATCTCCATCGGCCGCCTTTGCGACAAATGCGACGGCAAATGCCCCGTGTGCGACTCCTACGTGCGCCCGACTACGCTGGTGCGGATCTGCGACGAGTGCTCCTTTGGCAACTACCAGAATAAATGCGTCGTCTGCGGTGGCGAGGGTATCAGTGATGCATTCTACTGCTTCGAATGCACGCGTCTGGAAAAGGACCGCGACGGTTGTCCCAAGATTATAAATCTGGGAAGTTCGAGGACAGATTTGTTCTACCAAAAGAAAAGTTTTCGAAATCAATGATCGAGGTCTGCGCTTCCTCCCTTCGTGGCTGGCTTGGTGTCTTCTCTCTGCCTTTGGGAGGATGCGGGGAGGGAGGTACGCGCGGCCAATGCGGCGTGGGCGAGTTTTTATGATCCAGTCCAAAGGTCTAAGCCGTGGTGGCATTCACATTTTTTCCAACTGAGAACGGCGAGTGACGATCGAACTCGCCATGGTTGGCGTTGCCAGGCTATATAACGCTACAAAATACGTGTGCTTCTCAAGAGGGACCTCTCATCAAAAGTGGTGATCTACCGACCGGGCCGTCTGGGGCGAGCAAAACCCCGAGCAGGACCCGAATCCTGCGCTGGGTGCACCTCTTCCTTCAACCGCTCTCCAGTGATCTCGTCCGGTCCTGAAGCCTCGATCTATCGTCCGCGAGCGTTAGTACCAATTCCCACAACTCCAAAGTTCGACAGCCATTCCATACCTTCTTTGTGATCTTGAGTCCTTCCCCCTCGGCGACCGTGATAGCATTCCTCCGCGAGCTGGCGTGCAGCATGCGCTCCCTGATGGAGGAACCCGTGGGGCAGGTGTAAATGAACACCACGACGTCCGAGCCGGGATAGTGATAGAAGGAATACCGAGGCGAAGTGGAGGAGATGTGGCCAGCAACGGAATCCGGTTGAACCTCGGATTGCTTGTCGGCAAGGGTGATAGTCTCGGTGGGGATATCCACCGTCTGCATGAGAAACCAAATGTTAGCCTTGCAAATAGAAACATACCTTCCTCACCGTCATGTCCACCTCCGTGTAGACCGGGAAGCTGATAGTCCCAAAGAGTAAAAAAAAAATCACATACCAATTGCACCAAACCCCCATCTCCAAGCTCATTCAAAGCCGACTTGGCCGCCTCATCCACGGGCATAGACACCCTCATACCCGAACCCGTTCCGGGCCCAAAGGTACCCCCAATGCCAATGTCCCTCTGCGGCGTCCCACTCCTCGCCTCAGCCTCAGCCCGCTTCACAGCCTCAAGCTCACGCTCCTTCTCGCCCATAAGCGCCTCACGACCCACGCCAGCCTTATCCCCATCCCGCTCCGACCACGCCTCCCGACCAACGATCTCCTCCTCCTCCGTAGCAAATACCGTATCATCAAACTTCTCGGTGCCTAGCTCACGGACAAGCGTCGAGCGAGTCGATGCGAAGAGCATCTTCGGCCGAACGGGGGCATTGGATGGGATATAGGTCAATGCGACGAGGGTGCTCTTGGTCGCGAGCGGGCGGCGGAGGAGCAGGTAAATCGGGGTCTTGGGCTGCAGGATCGAAGATATCTGAGCCAGAGAGGTGTAGAATGCATCTGGGCTGGTGGAGGAGCCGGAGAAGGAGATTGGGGATAGTGGGGTGAGGCTCTCTGCCGTTATGGTTACGGGGAGACAGAAGATTGAGGGGTCGGAGGTGAAGCGGTTGAAAGCATCGTGGAGCTCCGAGGAGACTGGTTGGGGTTTTGTGGTTAGTTTAAGTGTCAATGGAGGGGATATTGTTTTGGAGATTGATGAGATGGAGAGGGTATTGATGTACCTGTGATTCCTGACTGCATGATGCCGTACAGGGGTTGGTCTTTGGGGCTGTTTGGCTGAGTTGTTGTTTACGGGGAGGGAGGAGAGGGGAAGCGGTGAATGACGAGGGGCGGGTGTTGGCCTTGCATTGCGGGAGCAGCTCTTGTCATTTTCCTTTCTCCTTCCGAGAGGTCCTTAATACAAACACATGATATCGAGACTATCAACTCGCGATTGTCATTATTATGTTCAGAAGCCGGACACGCTTGGCTTAATGCTTCTACTTTTCATCGCTACAATCTTTCTACTTGGACACGGACTCGATCCACTCGACTCACAGTACTGACTGATCCAACAATATGGTATACACAGAACTAAGGAAACCAGAATATATACAGAAAATTGTTACGACTGGCCTTTCTTGAAACGACACAGTCTCTCGCAGGTATCCAAAACCCACGCTGGGGAAAAACAGAGAACAAGCATCCAAACAACAAAAAAAGAAGCACGAAGACAGCAACACAACGCCACCATGCTTTGGTATGGTATCACATGCATCCCACAACCAACAAGCCCTGGCTATCCCCATTTCACTCTTTTCAATGACTTTTTTTACTCCTCAAATGCACCACCCACAAAGGCCCAGTTGGACTTCTCCAACTTACCCTTGAGGAACTCGTACACGGTGAAAGTGACGGCCTGACCGGGAGCCACACGCATCACACGAGGGGTAATACCCTTGTAGAACGCACGAGCACCCTCAGTCTTGAACATATCCTTGGCAATGACCACGATACGAGTCACGGCGGACTGGCCAGGCTCGGCCCGAGTTTTTTGCAGACGGGTCTTGATAGTATCGATGGGGGCATTGGAGAAGGGACCGACGGCACCGGAGATCAGACCGATGAGGGTGGTCTGGTAAGAGGGGAGCTGGGCGTCGGCGAATTCGGGCTGAGCGCGCTGCAGAGCAGCCTTGAGCTCGGTGTATGCGGTGAAGTTGGCGGCTTGGTTGGTACCTTGGCGCAGGGCTGTGAGGGAGACACCACGGTACAGAACGCTGAAACCTTCTTCACGGATGATGGTGAAGAGAGCGTGGGGGGCGCTGCGGTACTTGGGGGCATCGAGGGGATCGGCCAAACTGTGGTGTTGGGCTTGGAGACGGATCTTGACGACTTCCATGGGGTTGACGACGGCCACGGCTTCGGTCACACCGGCGGCGAGACCAGCTGAAAGGGCGAGAGAATGAGCGACTTGATCACGGAATATTTGAAGATTCGCCTTTCTTTGGACTTACCGAGGAAAGTGGCCTTGCTGGTAACCTGACCAGTCTCCTTATCGGCGAGAGCAGACTTATAGTACTCATAGGAGGTGAATCGAATGGCCATCTTGGGAATGATACCACCCAACACGGCGCCCAGACCCTTGTACAAACCCAGTCCGGTCTCCTTGCGCACAATCTCAGCACCAGTGGCGACGAATCCACGGGGCTTGACCTATTCAACGGAGAGCCAGTTAGCAATTGCAATCAAGATCCCTGTTTTTGTACACGGTATGACTTACACCAGGGGCCGTAGCTCTCCGCGAGAGCTGCATGCGGACCTTGATCGTGTCCAAAGGATGGCACACGAGAGCTTCCATCATACCGGCACCACCACCCGCTAAAAGTTGAATTGTTAGCCATTATTCCAGAAACTCTGGAGGGACCGGGGGGAGCTCTACCGATCAGGTTGACCGCGGGTGAGGCCCTCTTATTGCCGTTGGCAGTTTTGGCAGACATGATGTGAATGGAATCGAAATCACGATAGTTATATATATACACCAGACCAAATTGGAAACTCTCCTTTTGCGAACTAATGCCAGGAGCTCAATTGGACGAAAAGGAAAGTTGGGGGGGGGGGGGGGGGGGGT